TTTTCAATGGGATTTAGATCAGGGGAGTTTCCAGGCCATGGACCTAAAATCTCTATGTTTTGTTCCCTGATATCACCTTTGCTTTATGGCAAGGTGCTCCATCATGCTGGAAAAGCCATTGTTCATCACCAAACTGCTCCAAGAGTCTCCGCCCCACAGTGCGCGCAGATGCACTAACACCTGCCTGCTGCCATTCCTGATCAAGCTCTGCACTGCTGGTAGCCCAGTGCTGAAACACTTTTAAGAGTGTTTCAGCATCGGTCCTGGTGCTTGCTGGTCTTTCTTGGGCGCCCTGCAGCCTTTTTTGGCAACAAAGAAACCTCTCTCCTTGAAGTTCTTAATGATGCGCTATTGTTGACTGAGGTGCAATCATTCTTGCTGTGATTCTCTTTCCTGTTGGGTCATTTTTTGTGCATTGCAATGATGACTGCAGTTGTTTCTTTAGAGATAACAATGGTTCACAGAAGAGAAACAATGATGCCAAGCACCAGCCTCTTTTTAAAGTGTTCAGTGGTGTCATTCTTACTTAATCATGACAGATTGATCTCCAGCCCTGTCCTCATCACCACCCACACCTGTGTCAATGGAGCAATCACTGACACAGTGTTAGCTGGTCCTTTTAAGGTAGGGCTGCAATGAAGTTGAAAGGTGTTTTGGGGGATAAAGTTCATTTTCTAGGCAAATATTGACCTCTGCAATTTATTGCTGTTACGCTGATCACCCTCTGGAGTATATGCAAATTACTGTTATACAAACTGAAGCAGTATACATAAACACACACACACACACACATATATATATATATATACACTATATTGCCAAAAGTATTTGCTCACCCATCCAAATTATTGGAATCAGGTGTTCCAATCACTTCCATGGCCACAGGTGTATAAATTCAAGCACCTAGGCATGCAGACTGTTTTTACAAACATTTGTGAAAGAATGGGTCGCTCTCAGGAGCTCAGTGAATTCCAGCGTGGAACTGTGATAGGATGCCACCTGTGCAACAAATCAAGTCGTGAAATTTCCTCGCTCCTAAATATTCCACAGTCAACTGTCAGCTGTATTATAAGAAAATGGAAGTGTTTGGGAACGACAGCAACTCAGCCACGAAGTGGTAGGCCACGTAAACTGACGGAGCGGGGTCAGCGGATGCTGACGCGCATAGTGCGAAGAGGTCGCCAACTTTCTGCAGAGTCAATCACTACAGACCTCCAAACTTCATGTGGCCTTCAGATTAGCTCAAGAACAGTGCGCAGAGAGCTTCATGGAATGGGTTTCCATGGTCGAGCAGCTGCATCCAAGCCATACATCACCAAGTGCAATGCAAAGCGTCGGATGCGGTGGTGTAAAGCACGCCGCCACTGGACTCTAGAGCAGTGGAGACGCGTTCTCTGGAGTGACAAATCGCGCTTCTCCATCTGGCAATCTGATGGACGGGTCTGGGTTTGGCGGTTGCCAGGAGAACGGTACTTGTCTGACTGCATTGTGCCAAGTGTAAAGTTTGGTGGAGGGGGGATTATGGTGTGGGGTTGTTTTTCAGGAGCTGGGCTTGGCCCCTTAGTTCCAGTGAAAGGAACTCTGAATGCTTCAGCATACCAAGACATTTTGGACAATTCCATGCTCCCAACTTTGTGGGAACAGTTTGGAGCTGGCCCCTTCCTCTTCCAACATGACTGTGCACCAGTGCACAAAGCAAGGTCCATAAAGACATGGATGACAGAGTCTGGTGTGGATGAACTTGACTGGCCTGCACAGAGTCCTGACCTCAACCCGATAGAACACCTTTGGGATGAATTAGAGCGGAGACTGAGAGCCAGGCCTTCTCGTCCAACATCAGTGTGCGACCTCACAAATGCGCTTCTGGAAGAATGGTCAAAAATTCCCATAAACACACTCCTAAACCTTGTGGACAGCCTTCCCAGAAGAGTTGAAGCTGTTCTAGCTGCAAAGGGTGGACCGACGTCATATTGAACCCTATGGATTAGGAACGGGATGTCACTTAAGCTCATATGTGAGTCAAGGCAGGTGAGCAAATACTTTTGGCAATATAGTGTATATATGTATATGTATGTATGTATATGTATGTATATATATATAGTCACAGTCTCACTCACTTTTTCATCTGAAAATATATTTTCATCTGACATTGTAAGTCTCAGACGTTAGAACCCAAACATCCAGTGAAGTGGTCGCTTCTGTTACACTTTGATTTAATCTGAGATATTCAGTAGTTTGTTAGTGCTGCCCTCTTGGGGTAAAACCGGTGTATGTGTGAGATTGTTGATCTGTATTTTTCTTATATAAAAGATCCAAATGTGAAGGCAAATGAATATAATAAAATATTTGAAATTGTACATGTTATCAATGAGCAGAGTCTGTATAACGGATAAATAATAAAAAAAAAAAAAAAAAAAAAAAAAAAAAAATGAGATCAGATTTTGAAAATCCTTCAAAAACAAAAAAAATAACATTGCACTGGAAAAATAGATTTTGTTGTCTTAATTTTTGAATAAAAAAAACAGCAAAAAGTAATTACAATGAGTAAACATCATACACAATCTTTAACTGTTAACTTTTAATATTCAATTTTCAACTAATGTACTGACAGATGAATGTACAGGTGCTGGTCATAAAATTAGAATATCATGAAAAAGTAGATTGATTTCAGTAATTCCATTTAAAAAGTGAAACTTGAATATTATATTCATACATTACATACAAACTCATATATTTCAGATGTTTATTTTGTTTAATTTTGATGATTACAAATGACAACAAATGAAAATCTCAAATTCATCATATCAGAAAATTAGCATATTGTGAAAAGGTTCAAAATTGATGGCCCCTGGTGCCACACTCTAATCAGCTAATTAACTCAAACCATCTGCAAAAGCCTTTAAATGGTCTTTCAGTCTAGTTCTATAGGCTACACAATCATGGGGAAGACTGCTGACTTGACAGTTGTCCAAAAGACGACCATCGACACCTTGCACAAGGAGGGCAAGACACAAAAGGTCATCGCTAAAGAGGCTGGCTGTTCACAGAGCTCAGTGTCCAAGCACATTAATAGAGAGGCGAAGGGAAGGAAAAGATGTGGTCGAAAATAGTGTACAAGCAAGAGAGATAACCGCACCCTGGAGAGGATTGTGAAACAAAACCCATTCAAAAATGTGGGGGAGATTCACAAAGAGTGGACTGCAGCTGGAGTGAGTGCTTCAAGAACCACCACACACAGACGTATGAAAGACATGGGTTTCTGCTGTCGCATTCCTTGTGTCAAGCCACTCTTGAACCACAGACAGCGTCAGAAGCGTCTTGCCTGGGCTAAAGAGAAACAGGACTGGACTGCTGGTGAGTGGTCCAAAGTCATGTTCTCTGATGAAAGTAAATTTTGCATTTCCTTTGGAAATCAAGGTCCCAGAGTCTGGAGGAAAAGAAGAGAGGCACTTCATCCACGTTGCTTGAAGTCCAGTGTAAAGTTTCCACAGTCAGTGATGGTTTGGGGTGCCATGTCATCTGCTGGTGTTGGTCCATTGTGTTTTCTGAGGTCCAGGGTCAACGCAGCCACATACCAGGAAGTTTTAGAGCACTTCATGCTTCCTGCAGCTGACCAACTTTTTGGAGATGCAGATTTCATTTTCCAACAGGACTTGGCACCTGCACACAGTGCCAAAGCTACCAGTACCTGGTTGAAGGACCATGGTATCCCTGTTCTTAATTGGCCAGCAAACTCTCCTGACCTTAACCCCATAGAAAATCTATGGGGTATTGTGAAGAAGAAGATGCAATACACCAGACCCAACAATTCAGAAGAGCTAAAAGCCACTATTAGAGCAACCTGGGCTATCATAACACCTGAGCAGTGCCACAGACTGATCGACTCCATGCCACGCCGCATTGCTGCAGTAATACAGGCCAAAGGAGGCCCAACTAAATACTGAGTGCTGTACATGCTCATACTTTTCATGTTCATACTTTTCAGTTGGCCAACATTTCTATAAATCCTTTGTTTTTATTGGTCTTCAGTAATATTCTAATTTTCTGATATGATGAATTTGAGATTTTCATTTGTTGTCATTTGTAATCATCAAAATTAAACAAAATAAACATCTGAAATATATGAGTTTGTATGTAATGTATGAATATAATATACAAGTTTCACTTTTTAAATGGAATTACTGAAATCAATCTACTTTTTCATGATATTCTAATTTTATGACCAGCACCTGTATATGGAGAGAATTTCACAGATTTTGTTTTAATAATTAGTTGTGTCACATTTTATGTGTTTATCAAATTCTGTTTTTCCATTTTTATTTTATAGATATTATGTTTTCAAATGTCCTTTCCAATTTAATTCTTACAGTATTTGGTACTTTTTCCCCCCAGATTGAGTTTAACATTCTTCTCAAATCATGTTTCACTATAATCTTTAATTTGAAAAAAAAAAAAAAAAAATGCAATTTGTGAAATTAAATCGGAAGAACAAACAAAACTAGAAATAAATTTTATTTTTTAAATAATGTATAATAAAAAAAATTCATTACAGCCATTTCCACTTGAATCACGTCTCAATTACCAGATATAACGAGCAAATCTAACATAAATTTAGGTTTTGACTTCAGCAAGTGTTTTTTTTTTGTATTATCATTTGGCATGGTACCATTTAATGAGTAAAACACATGCTAATCACCCGCCCACATTACAGCTCCTCAGCCAATCAGCATCACCTATACATTCATGCAGCTCCCTGCCTGCAGTAAAAATCCCTCCCCACTGCAGAGGCTCCTCATTTGTGAAAAGTTGCTTTAATTAATCAGGTGAAGCTGATGCCTCATCAACTATACAAATAGACTAAAAGGTTAGTGCTTCATCAGTGCACGTTTGTCCAGTTAAAATGATCATTTGTAGATATGAAAAAATAAAATAAAGTTCATGTGTGGGGGGTAAGCTGAAAAGTTTTACAATTTAGAAATAAAGAAATGTTGAAGCACAAATTTTTGAAAAAGCAACAGTGTAATAGTTTTTAGATTGTTTAACAAGGCAGCATACAGTATACAGCTTTCAAGGTGCTTTCTTAGAACAAACCCCACCTCCAGGCACACAGGGTCCAAAGTGCAACTAGTTTGGTAAACAAAAATGGAAGGTTCATGTTCATTTTGTCACTAAAAAAAAAAAAAAAATGAAAATAAATAAACTCCTTTCTTTACTGATACCAAAAGACTTGGCAACACCACTACAGTTCCACCAACATGTCACCATTACTACCGTACATAAATGCATTAAGGCCAATCCTGCAAATAAACACCAATACATTATTTTTCTACATTTTACAGACAGTTTTTAACTTTTAGGATTAAACATAGTATTAAATCTATGTCCTGCATCCCATCAACTTTGACCCGCTTCCTGGTTCCTTCTGAAGGAAAAGGGTTGCAGCATGATCCTGCCACTGCCGTGTTTCACAGTGGGGGTGGTGTGTCCCAGAAGATGAGCAGTGCTAGTTTTCCTCCACACATATAGTGTTTGCATGTCGGACAATGTTGAAAATAAAATAAATATATAAGTTGCCAGCAAAAATTAACATTCATAAGAAACTTCTTTAATACTTAATTTAACAAATCATCTGATGTATTTATCCTTAAAATACTTTTTATTCCGTTTAAATAAGAAGGTTGGTTAAAATATGTCGATGATGAAGGGGTTTGTGGGGAATACCATTTAGTCGGATATAAATATCAATTCCTTCATGTCCTTCCATGGAGGGGGCTTCATGATGATATTGTTTTTTGTTGTTTTTTTTTTAAATCAGCAAGTTCATTATACAAGACGGTCAACTTAACCTCTGTATGCTGGCATCAATCCAAGGCAGGTTCTTTAAAAACAACATTTATACATACATACAAGGTAGAATAAATAAATCTATTATTCCACACTGGCCAGCAGGACACCAGATCCAACAGCCACCAGATCCTTGCTGGGGCGAGTAAAAAAACAAAAAGAAAAATCTGTCTCTTAAACAAATAGTTTGCTCTTCAATAAATGCCCATCCCTGCCGTCTCCTTATGCATCGCTTCCCATTTCCCAGGTCATGGCTGTAAAATCCATGTCTGTGAGCGTGACGGTGTAAGGAGCCTCCACTTGCTCAGGCTCCACCTGCTCCTCGCTAATCGCTGCGCGGTTTGAGTTGTTTACCCTCCAGGAGTTCAGAGGTCGGATTGATTTTTTGAAGCGCTGCGGAGAAGAAGTCAGAGGCACACCGATTATTATTATTAAATTAGGATATCCAAAGTTGTTTATGACAGCAGGACACAAGTGTTCACATTTTCTTGTGTTAAAACCCCAAACCTTTGGGATCTAAAGTGACTGATGAATATGCTGTATAATGACTAAATGGAAGAATAATGATCACTGGGCGTTAAAAAGTACAGCAATGCATAAACATCTAACAAAAGTTAGACTAAAATACATTAAAAAAAGAGCTGCAAAGAGGAAATGCTGCAAAAAAAAAAAAAAAGCAGCAAAGTGCAAACAACTGTAAATACATAAATGATGCTAAAACAAAGGATAAATACAGTAAGAGGCAAAAAAAAAAAAAAGTACAATAAAGAGAAGCTACGGTGCAGCTTTGGTTAACAGAGGTGCTACAGACCACTAGAGGGAGATGATGCATGAAAAGTCAGCTGAGTACAAAACATAGAGAGGAAAACAAAAAGAAAAGGGACAAGAAGAAGTGGGCAATACGTAGAACAACAATTGTATGTCTATTCTATTAACACTTCTGTATCTGTATAATGGGTCTGTTTTATGTGTTGTCTTCTCAATTCAGAGGGCCCCCCCCTGCCTGTGTTTGCCCAGGGCCCCAAATTTCCTAAATCCGCCCCTGTGTATATAGGACTAAGTTTTGGTTCCATCTGAATCCATCAGATTTTATTGTTATCAAATTTGACTTAAAGAAAATTAGCAGAGTCACAGTGGATTAAAGGATAATTCCGGTTTTTAACACTTTTAGCCCATTTTCTGTAGTGTCTAGGACAGTGACGTGCGGTGAGGTTCATAGCTGGTGAGGCACTGACGTCATCAGAATCAGATTTGCAAATAGATGCATAGATTGACAGCAGTTTACAGGTTATGTTTCACTTCTGCATCCTTACACATACAAACTGTAGCTCACAAAACACACATTTCCTTAAAAAACAAAACAAAATAAATGTTATTACTGTCTTACCTTTACTTATAAATGAATAGAAGTCCTCCTTATCTTCCTTCAGTTTTAAAAGTCTCTCTGTCTCAATGGAGATCACTGCCAGGGAAGAAAGCCTTCCTTGATCCGTCCTGTTCCTGCCTTATGTTTTCAGTCTCTTGAGCACCCCCTGCCATGAGGCAAGAGAACTGCCTGCCTCACCTCGAACTTGTTCTCTGCCGTTTATAATCGCTCATTACACGAAACACGTTACACAAACACAGTTGGTGACAAAAAGCTCTGTACATTATATACATAAGCCAAATTATTAGAAATAAGTTCACATATTACATTTGTTTAAACCATTTTATTGACGCCGTACAGCAACATGCTCTCTCCGCTTTGCAGCCAGCGCAGAGCCAGGGGTTGCGCAATCCAAGGTGAGGCAGAGCTCGCTGCTGCCTCACCGGCATCGCTTCCAAGCATTTGAATGGGAAAATAAGAAAATTCAGCGATTTTGAACAAATAAAAATCGAAATTGGTGAAGCTACATGAAAAATGAATATTTTTTAGTACAAACCACCGGATGAATATAACAATTTAAATTACTTTATGATTATATATTTTCTTTCTTTCCATGATGGCTGGTGAGGCACTGCCTCACCTGCCTCCCCTGACCGCACGTCACTGGTCTAGGATGAAATTGAATGATCGACACCAAAATTTTGACAATTGGTCCTGTCTCTGCTTTTTGGCTCATGCAGAATCCCCCCCTGGCTGCTTCAGAATGGCTTCCATAGTGCATGTCCGATAATGTCCTTAAAACAACCTTAAACGTTCTTTTTTAAAAATATGCTACTCACCGGGTCGTCAGCGCTGATCAATGACGTTCCAAAAAAAGTTTTGTGAAGAAAAAACGTTCCTGTCTTGTTTTATTTAGCATTTTGTAAATCCCAGAACTATTTTTTCCGATACATCACAACCGCTTATAAACTTCCGCTTCGAATCTGAAGCGTTGCACACTCCAGACCACTAGTTGGCGACGGTATCCTCTACCGTCAAACTCAAAGTCCAATATGTCCTCCTCAAGAATCCACCTTTCGTATTCCATTTTCAGAGTTTTTTAAAGTGTTTAACAGAGACGTTAGCACCTCGACGTCGGAGTACACAGAGTGAAGCATAAACACTTGGGCCTTGCGAAAAGACTACAACTGTGTAAACAGGCCCCATTTCGGTTTCCGGTGGCGGAGGGATATTGACTATTCCAACAGAACTCAATGGGATTTACAAAATGCTAAATAAAACACTACAGGAACGTTTTTTCTTCACGAAACTTTTTTTGGAACGTCATTGAACAGCGCTGACGACCCGGTGAGTAGCATATTTTAAAAAAAGAACGTTTAAGGTTGTTTTAAGGACATTATCGGACATGCACTATGGAAGCCATTCTGAAGCAGCCAGGGGGGGATTCTGCATGAGCCAAAAAGCAGAGACAGGACCAATTGTCAAAATTTTGGTGTCGATCATTCGATTTCATCCTGGACACTACAGAAAATGGGCTAAAAGTGTTAAAAACCGGAATTCTCCTTTAAGTTATGTATGAATTATAAGAAGGTAGGGATCTATTTTAGTGCGACAGTAAAAAAAGAAATCACATTAAATATTGTATTTATATCTCCCAGCAGTGGAAGTTTTGCGCATTTGGGACCTATTTTAAGTAGGAAAACAGAAGAGTTGTTCTTCTTTCAGACTAAAGCTTGGTTTATACTCGTTGCCAAAAGTGACCAGTAATCCGAACACCTCAAACCAGACCGCAAGCGCAGCCTCAACGCTAGGTCCGCACCTCTGAATTTCGAGTTCCAAATGGGAGGCTATAAATTTGTTCTCCACAAACAGGTTTGCTTTTACTGACATCAAATGGTGCAGAAGGTCAAAGTCCGAAAAGTCACAAATTTTGCAACAGTCACTAAGCTGGCAAGAGTGCATGCTTTGAACTGTGTTTCAAGAATCATGGAGATAAGAGAGTTAGCTGCCCTGCCAGCATAGCCAGAGACATAAGCATAGCATGGCCGTTGTGCAAGGATACATCTATAGTGTCACATTTTGGAAAGGTCAGCGGTTCAAGAAACCCCATATTGCCAGGGGAGCAGTGTGGGATTAAGGGTTAAGGGACCCAGAGTGGCAGTCTGTGGGAGTGGGGCTCAAACTCAGAACCTCTGGATTCCAAGCACAATGCACTAACCACTAAGCCGCCACTTCCCCTTCCAACACATGGCTGCCTGTATTCCAAAAAACAAAACAGATTTAATCTCAACATATTCTTCCAACTGAGCAGCGGATGACTGTAGCTCTTACAGAAAAACCTTGGGCTCCTTGGCTGCTCCTCTGATAAACAAAGCTGGCATTAATTATTCTATGTTGGCCAATAGCATTCAATCCAAACAAAATACAATGACTGTAATGGCTGTCGTGTGACTAAATGTGTAAAAGTTGAATGTTTGCAAGCCTCTGTAACTCGACCTCAGTATAAAGGTTCCAATGAGGCAATACTTACTTCTTTTAGACTCCCGGTTTCCCTGCTGATGGCCACAATGGCCCAAATGGGGATCTGCAAACAGCAGGTCGCACCCATGCACACACCTAAACCTTTGCCCCACCGCGGATACACGTACGAGCCATACTGGAGGGGTGTGTTGTACATCTCTAAGAAAATGTAGATCAGGATGAACTGTGGTGAGACACAGGGAGAAAAAAAGCTGGATTAGGATTCCAGAACAAATGGCAACTGAAACTGCTTTAGTTTGTTTAGTAGGTTTGGATCCTTTAATTATTTCTTTTCCATCTCAGTTCTTTACTCAGTGTTTGAGCTCTGATCAAATTACCTTTTCACACATCGTAAGAAAGAGCTGAAATAGTGAGAATGATCTCATACAGGTTGGGGTTTTTCTTTTTTAAACTATTGTGAGAAACAGGAAGTGACATCAGACATTTTTTTGGCTCACCAGAAGGAGAAAAGGTGTGCAGAAAACCCAACAGGCTTTGAAGTAAATCAGCACTTTGCTGCACCAAGGAGGGCAGTGGCAGATCATGTCAATGATGTCCTGACAGAACTGATTGACTCCTGATAAAGAAAAAAGAAAAATGCAAAAAAAAAAACAAAAGTGTAGTGAACAGACATTTATGAGAGACTGGATATCGGAGACTAACTGAAAGTGGTACGGTGGAATGATGGGATTAGTAAAGGAAAGATGTGTGAGGGTAAAGAATGTGAGGTGGGATACCATAAAAGAAGGAGATGCCAATGCACATGAATAGGGTGATGATGATGAGGCCAAAACTGGTGCTGAAGGAATCAATGAGAGTGAACCAGTATATCCCGCCCTATGGAGACACACACAGCGAGGATTTATATCTAAAATAAGAGAAACAACTGCACTTTCTTATTTCAAGTGAATAATTAATAATTATCTTATTTCAGGGCAAAACAAACTCATTCCATTCCAAATCATCGTATTTACCTGCTTAAGGGTAAATATGCTTATTTTAAGAATTGTTTACTCATTTTAAGATCTTTTTTTTTCCCACTCTCTGCATTTAATCCATCCCCTTGGGGAGCAGTGGGCTGCTATTGTGCAGCGCCAGGGGAGCAGTGTGGTGGTCTGTGGGAGTGGTTTTCAAACTCAGAACCTCAGGATTCTAAGCTCTATGCTGAAACCACTAGGCCACCAATCCCCTGCAGGTTTTGCAGTGTGGGTTTGCATCTACCTGCTTTGCACCTCTATGGTCTTTTTTTTTTTTGTTCTTTACAGAATATCTCAGTCAGAGTCAGTTAATATGAACACACCTTCTCTTTAGTCATATTAGAAGCTACTTTTATAAAATAACACTTAGAATATATAAGAATAGGCTTATATTTACTTTACTTTATTTCTACAAAATCATATTCTCTTCTCTGAGGCTTTCCTGTGGAATGAGAAGTGAAGATGCGTTTCTATTGGTTAGCTGACCGTTAGCAACGTTTCTATTGGTCAATGTGAGAGTTTGTTAAGAGAATGTGATCTGAGAAACGCAATTTGAAAAAATGCAATTCATAAAACTCTATCTGAAAAACAGGGTTTTGAAAAAAGAAAATAAAAAATCTAGAAAAATAAATAAATATTTGAAATACCAAATCTGCAAAAAAAGGAGAGTTTTGAAAAAAACAAATTTAAATAAAAAAATAAAACTATGAATAAAAACAGTTTAATTCCAAAATCTGAGAAAAAAAGCAAAGTTCCTCAACAAATGTTTTTTTGTTTTGTTTTTTTTTATCTCAATGTTTATCAAAGTTTCATTTCTGGATTGCAGTTTGTTCAAATTTCCGTTTTACATCCTTTGCTTCCAACATCAGTGGAACAAAATTTACTCCATATTAAATGTTTCACTCAGTTAACTGATTTACTAAACAAATTTAGTAACGCTCTAATTTATTGAATTGCTCTATTTATTTTGAATCTGGCCACCGATTCCAAGGTGGAAAGTTACTGGTTACATTTACTGTTGAATAAGTCCAATATGTGAGCACTTTGTACTGTTTTGAGTAGTTTTAAAAAAAAAACTGAGCATAAGTAGAATTTGATTCAAGATTATCCACTTAGTCACATTTAAAAATCAAATCCCTTAATGAGTTAAAAAACAAAAAAAAAGCAAAAACACTGAAAGCATTGCTAGTGATCCATTGTGTGCTTCAGAGCGATCAGATACCGATATGGAGGGGGGACAATCAGACATTACAGGAAGCAAACTCCGCTAAAGTATGATTCACATTTCAACATTGGGAAAGAAAGAAACTGAGAAAACAAGCCCGTGGCCATATTTAAAACACCAGATTAAGTTTTAGCATATAAAAAGGAAAAAGCTTTATGATGAAATCAATAACTTGACATCAAACCTAAATGAGGAGGCAAAGAAAGAGCAATTTTTAAGTTCATGTTTCTTGTTAGAAAGTGGTGTCTGACTTGCAAATCGGCATTTGTTGTGTTTTTTTTTACATGATAGCTGGACGTAACCCAAAGCTAAAAAAAGTACCAACAGCGCTAACTGGGGGGTGTCCAATAGCGCTAACTGGGGGGCATGTAATCATTGGATGTAGGAGCACGTTGGTGGACTATCTAGTTGATATTCACCACTATGAACATGTAAACATGCCTAAACCTACAATGCAGCATAAGAGTTGATTCCTTCCCATTATCATCGCAACCCCAACCCCCATACATAATCCAGACATGTTGAGTTGAAAAAGCTTCCTGGATGGGAGGCAAAACATCTTCAAACTTAGAAACAAAGTCCAGTGGATGACTTTTTTGGAACGCCTAAACCATGTTCAACTTTATAGAAGCTGTTGAGGATGATCTGCATCATAATCATGCCTAACACCTACAAAATACTGATGATTTCATTTGTTGAGCTGCTTTATGTTTCAGTAATATTTTCATTTATAACAAAAGTCCTTTAAGTTAAAAACTGTTTCAGACCAATATGTGGTTTTTGTAAAAAAAAAAAGCTCGAGAGTGAATTTCTTCAGCACACAAAAAGAAAACTTTGACAGAAAAAAAAATTTTAATTACGTATTTTTTTTACTTTTATTTGATTATTATTTTACTTTGGTCAATAACATCTACATTGGGAAAAAAAACATCAGAGTAACTGTAGTTTCATTTAAGTATATTATCTTTGTACTCTTTCCATCTCTGACAAACTGTCAGTATTACTTTTGGCATGGACTTTGACTAGGCCATTCTAACCAGATATGTTTTAATTCAAACCATTGCATTGTAGTTTTGACTGTTTGTTAAGGGAGGCTGTCCTGTCAAGATGTAAAACTCTCCTCCCACTGCAAAAAAAAAGCTGGCCCACAGCATAATGCTGCCGCTGCCACTTTTTAAAGTAGCGATTATGTGTCATTGTTGCTATAATATATAGACCTAAAACAGGAAGGGAGGAAGTGTATCCACCAATATTCCCTTACAATGAATTAAGATAAAAAACAAAGGCATGTCACACTTTTAAGATTTTGTGTATAACCTATTTTCAACATTCTCTACATACTTTATAATGACCATTTTTTTAGTTTTTGTATAATAAAATCCCTGTGTAAAATCCACTTGTGTGTTGCATGAGTGCTTCCCTGTGCAAGGCACTGTACAGATGGAAACAAATTCACGTTATTCCCAAACAGACTCACATCCGTCACCAGCAGGAGGCCCATCAGGTAGAAGACAAAACACAGCGTGCCCAAAAACAAGGCCTTATGGAAGGTGTTCCTTCTGAGGTTGGGGAACTCATCCAATACGGCTGTGGTGATGCCCTCCATGTTGCCAAACTGTGAGGAGACAAGGGGGGGTGGGGGGTGGGGACTGTGTGTGTCAACCACTGATCAACAGATTCATCATATTCCTGCAGTTTTTTACCCCATTTACTCTACCCTCTGAAAACCGATGTGACTGGGCATAAAGTACCTCGGGTCAAGGACTTTGACACGGTCTCTGAATCTCTCCGTCTCAGCTTCATAGACGGGAATGATGCCGTTACCATGTAATGCGCGATGGCAGCTGTGATTTGTTTATGGCACGGAGAAGTTTTCTCATACTGGGTGAAGTGTGCCAACGACTCTGTTATCTTCAGCTGGATGTGGTTTTTGTTTTTGCAACCTCTTCCCACTGTTTCCCACATCTTGCTTTACCTTGCACTTTTGGATCCTTTTGTATTCTTTTTCATGGTTCGTCTTTTGGTGATAGAAGAGGTTTAATGTGTTTTGCCGTTGGATGAGGGAACAGTCTTGAGCATTGCAAACGAGCGTTGTCTACTCCATGTTGGCTTTTTTTAAATCCAAATGTAACCAAATCACAGATGTACCCCCTCTTTTTGGTAAAAGTGCTTCATCTTGGGCTGCCTGCGTAGCTGTCACTGTTTGACTCACACGCGGGTTTGTCTCAAACCCGCGTGTGAGTCAAAAGCTGTGAAGCAGCATCATCTTGTAAAACCACAAGACAGTGCTCTTTTGTAGAGTAAAAAAAATATAAATCTTGTTTATAACTTATATAAGCTTTGTTGAGGCTACATTAGGGGTGGAACGGTTCACAAAATCCATGGTTCGGTTCACGGTTTCGTTTACGGGCTGTAGGCTTTGCTTTGAGCAGCCGGTCTGGAGCGGAGCGCTGACGGAGTATGTGGGATTTCGGGGTTAGCATGACATGTTGGTCGTGTTGCTGTTAGCATAAACATAACGTGTTGCACAATGCTTGCACACTGTTGCACTTTTATCCACAACTTTCTTTCCGGCGTCATCGTAGGTCACTCTAAATGCAAAGCGGTCCCATACAGCAGACCTATAAAGTGCTGCTGGCGCGTCTTCCAACTCCTGTTCTTTCCCACTCGCCATACCCACACAATTCTCCACAACAACTGATTTTTTTTCTGCTACGCTGCTTCGCTTCTTCTCCTTGCTTACTACTGGTGGTTGGCTTTGGTCGCAGTACCCCCACCTTCTGCTCTGGAGTGTAATCACTTCGCCTATGAGAAAAAGGAGCAGCGCATGAACCGAACGCAACACACGCGAACCGAACCGAGACAGTCGAACCGAACGGTTCAGATGGTTTTCATAAACCGTTCCATCCCTAGGCTACATGACTACACTAATACGTTCCTGATAGTCTTCCTCAAGAAATATTTGCTTGAATATGAGATTAAATGGTGTTAGAAATTATAGAAACAATAGAATAGAATAAGCACGATAGACACTTTTCTATCGCCTGTACAATATGCATTGTCTTATCGCCCAACCCTAGTGGAAATCGTGTGGCACGGTAGGGAAGTTAGTACTTTTATGAATGTCTGAAATTTCCTGATTACGGAGGCTGAATGTAAGGAGATGATGCTGTCTGCTCATGTGCTCTTAGTTATCTGAGAACCGAGCCAGAACTGAACCGCGCCGAGCCCTACTGATGAACTAGGACCAGTTTAGCACGGTTCGGTTGTGTCTGACCCGGTCCAGTTCAGTTGTGCATGTCATTTACACTCAGCAGTTACCTCGGTTACCGTGCTCGGACTGATTTTGACACAGTTTCAAAAGGGTAGTGTAAATGGGGTTTTTGTCTAATTCGTCTTACCAGAGTATCGACCCCAAGCATGAATAGCATGAGGAAGAACATGATAGACCAAAAAACAGAGCCTGGTAGGAGAGCGAGCGCTTCTGGATAAGCAACAAAAGCCAGTCCAGGACCTGAAGACAACAAAGGATCATTTTTAGGATTTCTACTGACGGCCTTTACTGGCTGCAACCCAAAAGATGCGGACAGAGAGAAGCCTGGAAGCTACCTGTGTCTGCCACCTTTCCAACAGGCACTCCCTTCCTCCACGCCATGTGACCCAGGATGGAGAATATAGCAAATCCTGCAAAGAAGCTGGTGCTGCAGTTTCCAACTGTGATAACGATGGTGTCCCTGAAATCAGAGAAAATTTTCATCTGAACATCATCTTCAGACTTGACTGTATGAGACACAATGGTGCAGCAGCCCTACCTGATGACGTTGTTGTCGAACTTATTGTAAGACGCCATAGAAAGCAGCCCTCCAACCCCTATGCCTAAAGAGTAGAAGATCTGAGAGGCGGCATCGTTCCACACCTGTAATGTTTAAGGAAAAACTGGGTTTAGATTATGGAGAAATTAAATACAAGTTTTATTTTAAAGTCTCTCAGCCCAGAGGTTGGCTCATGCAGAGAGAAGTTGTGAAGTAGATTGTGCAGTTTGACACAGCTGCTTCAAGTAGAGTGTTTTTTTCAGGATCTGCTTGTCTCACTGCTGCGTTTAATATATTGACGACATGATTGATAAAAGTGTATCTCCTCTTGGCCAGTAGGTGGCGCACTCACATTCTCCTGCTCTGGTTCTGTAGTGCCAAAAAGCTAGTTAGCAGTTCTGCTAACAGTAAGGCTGTGTCTGAACATTCGCCCTAATCACTATATAGTGGTTACACCATTTTAGATGATTGTCCGAACATCTAGTGGATGAAAAAGTAGTGGACTCGAAATTTCCCACAATGCACTATGAAAAGGTGCATTGTTGGAACTCAAGGGATTTTATGTGGCGGCGACAAATTACAAAAATGACGCAGGCACTGTGCAGGGAGGCGGGGTTAAGCCGGGTATACATGATATTTTCAATTATTGTACTCAGCTACAGCTCAAACTTTATAGTGAAACCTCAGGGTTTAAAAGTTCACAGCTCACAATGTATGTTCTCACAATGTGCAGCCCTACGCTCTGCATGTCCAAAAACCACACGTCGGACTCAGTGCCGAGAGATGGCGCTGGTCAGACTCGTCAATCTGGAAGAAGAAGGTTCTCGTCAATCTGCGCAGAGCGAGGTTCTGGTAAATCGGCTCGTAGCTTTGCTTCACAGCTGGATTAACCCATGAAGACCTTACGATGGCCGACTGAATTTTTTACATATTTGATCTTCTCCCAACCTTATGAGTCGTGATCGCAAAGTGAAAAGTAAAATTTTGAACTACGGCATTTTGCAAAAAAAAAAAAAAAACAAGATATAATGACAATAAAAGACTGAAAAAAAACTCCCAAAAAACATGAATTTGAGTTTCTAGATGTCCAAAGATTATTTATAGGCTTTATGTATAGCACATTAACAGACCAAAACCACAAAGTGCTTCACAATACAGTTTAAAAACACCAGAGAATACACGATATAAAAGGCCAAGACAATAGGTAAGGGGTGTAAGACTGAAGGGTCTTTTTGTTAACCAAACCATGACTGTAAAGTCAAGTACAAAGTTTTTTTTTTTTACGGCTCTAGTGGCTCCTTTTTTTAAACAATAGGCTGACGGGAAAGGGAGTATGAGAGAGAAAGAGAGGCATGCTACAAAGGACTACACGTTGGATTTGAACCCAGATCGGCCACCGAACATGGGTCGTTTCCACTAACCACTGCTACACCGAAGCACACCCAGTACAAAGTTATAGTAATAAACAAATAAACTACTGCCAATTAAAGTAAACCAGACAAATCAGTTCCTGTTGTGTAAAATATATACAAAAAAAGCCCATAAAAATAAACACAGAAAAACATTTAGAATACTGGTTTATTTTAAAAAGAAACGGATAGATTAATTGATTAATAAAATAATTTATAGGTGCAGGTCTTGTTATGTCACAAAATTTAAGAATGTTGACAGAAAGCAGGGACGGATGCTCTGGCGTACCTGTGCGTTAGCTAAACGGCTCCAGTCTGGTGTGAGGTAGAAAGCGACGCCCTGAAGAGAACCCTCCAGTGTGGCACCTCGGATTATCAAAACAATGAGGACAAAGTATGGGAAGGTAGCTGTTACATAGACCACCTAAGGAACACAGAAATACATTAGACTGAGACAATGTGGCGGCAGGAGGAGCACAGTAGGTTTGATGGATAAGTAGTGTTTTTTTTAATTTAATATGGAGTAAAACACAGCAGCAGCTCACCTTCCCAGAGCTGCGGATGCCTTTCAGCATACAGAGGAAGATGATGATCCAGGCAGCCAAGAGGCACAGAGCCAGGGGCCAACGCACAGGGCCCGGGTCATGAAGGCCCTCACTGTTCACGACACCCAGAACTTTCTCACTGCAAACGAGCAGAATAGATTTATGAGCTTTAAAATAAAGAATACAAGGAACCTCATTCTTTACTGATGACATAATGAGAGGATTGTGGCATCAGCACTGAGATGTATTATAGACAAAACAAAAAAAAACATCCTGCTCTGAAATATTAATGGAAATAATATTTAGTACTTCCAATCATAGTTAATAAAGAGGATATGGATCAAATTCATATTCCCATAAACAAATCTATCTGTACAGCATCCTTTAAAATATCAGCACTTATGTTTAAAAAAAAACTTTGAACAAATTTCAATTTTGATTTAATGCAGAAGCAAAATATCACAATAATAAAAAAAATAATAATAATAACTTTGATTTCAACAGATTTCTGTGTTCTTTTTGATCAGACTTTTCAAATCCTCCATTAGCCAATAGTATCACACCCAATATTTCTGCTAACATTTTGGGGCAGAATTGTGAATGTTATTAAGTTTTCTTAGAGAATATGTGGCTTCCTTTACATTTAGGTTTAGTTATATTGAAAGGTGAAATAACATTTACACTGACGAGTATCAACATTGATGCAAACAAAACACTCACTTCCAGAAAATTTCTGTTGGGCTGTGCCGTCCTTCCATGGAGCTATTGCCAACGGTGCCATTACCGCAGATCAGAGCGTTGCTCAGGGCATCACACGACCAGGGCAGGGGGCTCTGGAAAGAGCTGCCCAGGTAGTAAAATGTCCACGCTATGATCACATTATAGTAGAGGCACACCAACGTGGACACACACAGCATCCCGATTCCAATGCCTGCATAAAAAGACACGGTGGTGTAAGGATCATATGACAAACCAATAGTACACTATTATTTAAAATCAATTTGATGCATTGCATGTAAAATGTCCAGGGCATTTTTTTGGAACCTGCCAACCCTCCAAATGCAGGTAACTTTTGTGATTGGGTGAGACTGTCAATATACCTGCCATGTTGGTGGGCAGCCTGAAAGGCAACACACATCAATGAGCACATGTTGTTGACCAATCACGTAGTCTATTGTTTTTAAGCAAGCCATGCTTTTTTGTTGGATTTTTTAAATGAAATGTGGGAAAATATGGCTCCTGTTTCACCGTTATAACACTTAAACCCGTTATTAAGGTGAAGCAACTTCCATTTCCAAGCTGTCTTTTAATGCACCATGAGCATACACATGCAAGGGCAGAAGTTGGACACAGACATGATACATGAGTATGTTTAGAAAAACAGCAGAAAGATGCACAGTTTATTTCTAAACGTTGGTTGTCTGCAAATTATACTTGTTAGTAAAATGATGATAAGGTAAGACATGGTGCAGCCAAGGACAGAAACAGCCTAACATGATTTGGGCATTGATTGCCTTGCATAGCTTGAACAATTCAGTTACCTTTATGATAAATACTTATGTTTGAAACATTTTTATAAAAAGCTCATGCTTTTTTTATTTCCGATTAAATGTATATATTTAACTTTAATACCAGCAGAGCAGTGAGGTGCTCAACATTAGCATTAGCAATATGATGTGTTTGCTAAGGTGGCAAACTAAAGTTAGTGAGAAACAGGAACATTTCCTGGATTCTAAACTAGATCTGCTTTGTCGATAAAAGTCAGTTTAGCAGGTTTTCTTATTTTCATTATCGGCAATTTAAGTATTTATTTTTTGGTGAGTAAGGCTAGAACTACCAACACATTCTCTCAGAGTGCATACACACCTTTATTAAAACGTAATGTTTCTGTAGTGTAAAAAAAACAGACTATGATGAATCATTTTAAACCAAAGAGATCTGATTTTTATCCAGAACAGCTCAATTAAAAACAAATAAATCTTTAAAAGAAGAAAACAGAAAAGAGATTATCTGCAAGAGTGTGCATAAAACGTTACAAAAAAAACATAGTTAAAGCAGCATTATATTAAATTTTATTTTACTTTTGTAAAATTTTACCTGGATCCTACATCTAAACATATCAATTACAAGTCAATTCTAGCTTATTCAAGTTTCCCCAAACACATCAGAATAAAAGAAACATAGCCTTGTACATTGCATCCTCATAGATGTTCCTAGATGTTTCTTTAAAAAAACTGGTCTTCTTTTTGGACACACTGGTGGTGAAAAAAAACATATTAAATTTTCTTGCAAACCACTGAACATTAAAGACCAAACACCTTGTGGGATTGTGATCGATATGTTCTACTTAAGGTTCATAAAACAAGAAACGTGTCTTCTACAAGGCTTTGGAAGATTTCAAGCAGGTGTGTGGACGGTTTCTTTGTACTCTAACAAAGAAGTTCTCTGTTATAGCACAGCTTCTTATCCCAGATATAAAAAGCATAGAGACAGTTGCTGTTTTTTTGTCATGAAGTGCAAAACCATGACCGGCTAGAAATTCCTGAAGCATTTTCTGCATCGCCTCCTGCTTCACGGTAGCCCATCTGACCAGTTTCACTCCTATTTTTTCATCTTTTCACATTGACTGCCTTCCTTGTGTTGTGTTTCTAAACTAAACTTTTTACAACAAGAGCATTTTGATCTTTTGCAGCATATTTTCAGACAGTAGCTTTTTCTAATGGATGGAAAAGAACAACATGTACGAAAATCCTGTTTGACTTGCTTAACTGAGATGTGCTGTTAAAAAAGCCTGATGCTATATTTGAACAAAAAGGTTCCTCAATGACAAACTAGCTTCAGGATGTGCACATTTATTCAACCATTACAGAAGATTAGAGGCAGGCTGATACTTTGGGATGAAACTTGCAGGAGTTCTTTTCTTGTATCTGCATAAGCCAATGCATGCATGCATTCACCTATTCATTAGTGTATCCTACAGCCATGCCTTTACATCATGTGAGGTGCATCCATCCGGCCTCCTTCCATTTGCCATCCGTTTTTAACCTTTTGTTTGATTTCCCAACAAATTTTTATATTTTGTTTCAATTGAGACTAGTGTAAAGTTTTAGCCTGACGTAGTCCGACTCAATTCTAGTCAGAATATGAGTCTGATACTGCTCCATAGAGCTGTGATTATGGGGCGTGTTTCGAACGAACCAGGAAAAAAAATGCCTCTGCACTCAATTGGATAGACCAACAACCAATAAGAGCAACGGAGTGCGTGACGTATGTTAAGCGAGGCATAGTTGTTGTCCACAAAAATCAAAGCGTGCAGTTGCACGCCTATAATAAGAAGATGAGACTTGATCGCGTTTCTCTGTTCCTCTTTTAAAATTAATTTGCTGTCGATATCTTCTAGAACAGACCTAATAGCAGAATCTACACACCTCAACTCTCCGGCGGCAGCCATTGTTGTCACCCAAGCGCGCATTGGTCACGTGGTTGATTACGTTACTGTTGGTCATCTGTCCATCATCGTATAAAGCCCGCCCTGACAATTTGATTGGATCGCCTGGCAGTGGGCGATAATACTCGCGCTACTATGGAGCAGAGCCAGACCGAACTTCCCCGACCTCAAACTTTGTAGGCGGGACTAAGTTCGGAATGGCACCCAGGCTAGTAAAGTTTGTTATCATTGTATCTCTTTTGTCACAGAAGTGGAGGAAAAACAATATCTAATTTAATATTCCCAAAAAATAAAAAAATAAAAAAATCAGCAGCACATTTCGAGGATCGTTTATAGACAAAATACTTGATGTGAGCTTTGGCCTTAAAAGAAAAATTGCATTCATTGATTTCTATTGCGAATATCTATTTTTGATGGTTGGTTTACCCGTGATACACTGCAAAAAAAGAAATTAAATTCATTTTTAAGGAGTGTATTTTCCCTCGTTTTAAGTGGATAAAAAAGGCAGTTTGCCAATGAAATAAAACGTACATTTAAATTAAGAAAACTTATCTTGTTTCAAGCGCAGATAAAATTATCAAGATGTAAGTGGAAAAATACTAATTCCAATGTCAGATTATCTTATTTATCTGCTTAAATTAAGGGGCAAACACACTTATCTAAAGAAATATCTATTTTTTTTAAGTTTTTTTTTTCAGTTTATATGCAGAGTAGGGTGACAGATGACGGGCTTTGGGTGAACAGTCCGGATTTTCATTGCACAGCTGGATGAGTATTTATCCTACTTTATGAGGTACAAGGCTGGAAGAGCAGATTTATTTCCATTCTTGCTGGGCTGCAGCACAATATCCAATCATAGAATATAAAAAAATTTTTGACTATCTGGTCTAACAGATGACTGGCTAAGAGTGGTGCCGTATCAGATAAATATCTGCTTGTCATTGGTTAAAAAGTAAACAAGACTCAGAGTGATACTTAGTTATTCATTGACAGAAAGTTAGCATCGTGCCAAAACACAAGACCCTGTTTATCTCTCAATGGACAAAAGAGCGTGAATTTATAACGAAAAGTAGTCAAGACTCATTCCATAGCTTCTGCACACTTTGTCGAGGCGACTTGGACGTAAGCAGTCAATGGAAAGCTGCACTTGAATAGCTTGCAAGTACGAATTAACATTAAAGTAATAAAAGTGCAGGAGGTACCTCATCAATGAGTGCTTTTTTTCATGAAGTTTCGTCGCCCCTGGATACCAAAATAACTGCTGCGAGGCTGCAAGCGTCAGCTTTTCTTATTATGCATGCTACCTGTTAAATTATATGTTTTTGAACACTTAAGTCATCACATGTTACGCTTTGTGGCATTTTGCACTTTAAAAGATTTACCTCAATGGTCGGGTTTTGCACACCACGATGTAATGAATAAATACAAATACTGTGAACAAATACTTTTTGACTTTTTATTTTTTTTTATCCTTTTCAGCTACACTAGCATCCTATTAAAACCCTGAAAATTGTACTATAAATGAGAGTAAACCAGATTCTTATGTACACCTTAGTAATTCATTGATATGCCGCATAATATCCTCCTTCTTGATGCTATAGAAATTGTTCCCCTAATGCAGAAGAGGGAAGTAACTAGTTAGATTTAATTGAGTAGCGTTTAAAAAAAAAAAAAAAATCACATTTAGTCGTTTTACTACGCTGCACTTCTTACTTTTACTCGAATAATATTCTTTTTAAGTATCATTAATCTTACTTAAGTGAAATTTCTGGTTGCTCCGCCCACTCAGAGTATCTTCAGCTATTTGGAGATCAGCTGAGTAATCATTACTGTAAATATTATCAGTGGAAAGTCTTTACCCTGTTCTAATTTAAAAAGAAAATTCATAATCATGTTATTAATTTGTTATATTTATGTGTCAAAGGCTTTAAAATACCAGAACTTGCGCATAAAGTCTGTCTTCTTGCATAATTTCTAAATGTTAGTCAAGCCCTTATGATCCAACACTTGGTACTTTTTAACCCTTACTTGAATAAATTCTTAACGTGACTATTCCCTACCTTTACTTAAGAAAAAAGAAAATGTTGCACTGCTGTTTTTCTTATTTGAGTACACATTTAGGATACTCAACCCACCTATTTTAAATTAAAAGACACATCACAAGCTCAGATGATTAACAGCATTGTTTATACTATGTGAGTATGTGTTTGCTGTTGGGTTGACGCAATTGGTGACACAAAACAAACATGGAGCTTTCTTAGAAATTAATTCAGGGGCTTTACGGTGCTTTTTACAGTGGGAACCACAGTTCAACGGCTCAGCAATGAGCTTGAGGACATTAAGTTTAGACAAATGATTACCCAAAGGGTGTCTAATAAAAACTATAATGGAGGAGGTGATTACCTTTAAGCAGAGGGCAGCATTTCCACACCATGATTGGGCCAGCTGAGCCATACTGGCCTAAACTCAGCTCCATGAGAAAGAGAGGTACTCCCGTCACAAAGAGCATAATGAAGTAGGGGATGAGAAACACTCCTGTAAGGATCAGAGAAAAATATTTTTCGATTAGGTTTTAATGATAAGACCATGCAGTTTAAGAGTTAGCTTCATAGAAAGCCTTACAGTCAGTCAGGCCTCAAAATGTTTTATCTCAGATGAGTATATTGCTGGCATAGAAAAAGGGACCTTATTTCCTGTGTGTTATTGAGGGAAAACACAGTTGAAGCTATGAGGCTGAGCACCCAACTGTATCTCTGTAGCTCTGTATCAGAGCAGACTCTTCCTGCTGAGGAAACAGAGATCTTTTGGAGAGCAGGGGGCGCTCCTAAAGACCTTCTATGACTCTGCTGTGGCATCAGCCATCTTCTATGGAGCTGTCTGTTCAAGCAGTGGCTTATCTGTAGCTGAGAGAAAGCAGCTGGATAAGCTGATCAAGAAGGCCAGCTCTGTGATTGGACGCCCTCTGGACTCAATGCAGGAGGAAACAAAAGGATCCTAACTAAATTAACATCTCTGTTGGATAATATTTCCCACCCCATGCATGAAGCTGTTTCAGAACTGGAGAGCTCCTTCAGTGACAGACTGCTGCACCCTAAAGGCACCAGGGAGCGTTATCACAGATCCTTCCTCCCAGCAGCTATAAGACTTTATAACCACCACTGTTCCCAACAACCTCAATAAGTTGTTACATCCATGCTGATTATGCACAGTTTCTACGTTAGTCAGTTAAATAACATGCTGCTGCCATTTTGCACATCTCTGATGTTGCTGATGTTTTCATAGCTGTAAAAATGTCCATAGCTGGATATTGGTTATTTATTCTAAAGGTGCACAGTATATATATTGTTAAAACACTTTACAGCACAGTGTTTTATTGTTTATCTTTAACTCTTTACTGTTATGTTAGTCTTACACATTTTTCTAAGGTCCACATTTTTGTGACCATTTTTACTATAATCTTCTTGCTGCTGTTAAAACCAGAATTTCCCCATATTGGAACAATAAAGGGATTTTCTATTCTATTCTATTTCTCCACAAATGTCTAAACTAAGTTTGCCATGCAGGGGAGCAAAGCCCATACCCTGATGAGTTGGTCTCATCAGGGTGTATAATAAATAATAAAATTAAAGGCAGGAATCATAAAATGAAAAAGATCACCAGAGTTAAAAGGAGGATATGCAACATGCTTTATAGTAACTCACCTCCTCCATTACGGTAACACAGGTAAGGGAACCTCCACACGTTGCCCAGACCCACGCAGTAACCGATACAGGAGAGCAGGAACTCGTACTTCCCTCCCCACTGATCCCTCTCAACAACCGCGGCTGGGGGGGGCCCAGGAAAAGGGGCGCTGGAATCCGACGGCTGCTGTGGGGTCGGTGTAATTCCTTGGCTGTAGCCATTTGAAGGAGTGCTATGCCCATTCAAATGTACTGGGTTCTAAAAGAAATGAACAATAAGACAAACATGGTGACATTAGTAGAAATGCATCATAAGACAAGGAATTATTCAATGTTAATAAGAGTTAATCAATGGGAAGCTGAGTAATATGCATAAATATGGCCATTGTAATAATTTAAGACATTATTTCACCACTTTAAACATGTCAAACTTTCTCAGTTAGAAGTAATCTATTGGATCTATGATAAACTATTGCAGAGTAATTCAATTTGATTACAGAAGGCCACAACAAATATTATCTAATCACACTTTACAAGATAAGCATTTATAAACATAAGTCTTAAAAAATCAGTCTAATTAGTTTCAAATGCAATAAAAAAAAAGGCATTCTAGATCGATTTAGGGTGAAATTCTGTTTATTAGGAATGAAAGTTATCACTAAATGAATTAAACTGAAATTGATTGATCTAATGGGTTAACGATTAATTGATAGGCAGCCATTTTCTTAAAAACTTGTAAACATCTCTTATTAACATTAAATATTTTCAACAACACTCCAAGTTATTTTATGATGGGAGATAAAACCATCATTATCAGACGGGGTATGTTGCTCCGACAGAGAAGTTGATGCCGCTGCTCCATGCAGCTCAATTTAATTGGCCTGTTGAGCTGCTGACTATATATATATAGCATCCTAGTTCAGTCATTAAATCAGGCTTAGCAAAAACTAGCAAACAGTGGGAAGAAATAACTCCCTTTAAACTTTTTTTTCCCAGCTTTTACTGTCATTACACTGTCACGAGTACAGAGCAACGAACTGAATTCTCTGCATTTAACCCATCCTCTTGGGAAGCAGGGGCTGTCAGTGTGCTGCGCCCAGGGATCAATCGGGAGTTAATAGTCTTGCTCAGGAACCCAGGGGCTTTGGGGATCGAACCAGGTACTTGCAACCTTCTCAGAGCACAAGCCCACTGCTCTAACCACTAGGCCAACACTTCCCCAGATATGACATAAAGAAACCAACAGCAGAACTTTGCTGGAGCACATTTTATAAAGAAAAGCTTCACAGGTTGTTTTAGTGCCTTCGTTTGGGCGAGGAACATAAGCAACAGGTGATACGTCTATGGTATGAAAAAAAAGAATTTGTAGCTAGTGGCAAGGCCAGCTCCTATGATGGCTTTTTCCAGAGGAGCAACTAGGTCAACTACAGCTTTCCACACCTGGTGACTGAAATATTTCCTATTCTTTTTGTTAAAACAGCTCAAGCTCAGTCAGGCTAAAAGGTGAAAGTTTTCTCAACATTCCTTTTTTTTTTTTACATCTTGCCTCATATTAGGGATGAATCTATACCAGATTCCTTTAAACTGAGTTCAAGCACAAGTAATCAGATTATAAATACTTGAAACAACTGATACCGAATAGAGAATGACTGATACAGTTTTTTTTCCCCAAGGCAGATGTTGATTCTAAACAGATTTTAAAATCAAATTAACCGATCCCTGATGTGTGCAGATTAGTTTTCGAGATGGTTGTTTAGGCTGACATTGCTTTCACTTTCTCCATTTACATGATAAAAAAACACTGGAAATATTTATTGACAAAATAAACAAAAAAAATTAACAATTGGTAGCAGACTGAGCGAGCAGCAATGCATCCGCTTCACATGACCTCAGGGCATGGCTGCTGGATGCACTGATGGAAACGCCAACACCTATCAGCGTATATAAATGTTAGAGTAATTGTACAGAAATGTATCTGTATAATGTTATAATGCATAAAACTGTATGCTGTGTGTATGCAATTATAAACACCTTTTATCTGTACCGGTAAGCTTGCTTTTAAGGAAGTTGTGGTTGACTTATTGGCAGCATTGCACCTTCTGACAACTGATGTCCAACACAGCACCTGCTTAAGCCCAACCATGACTGAAGCACGATGTCTAGCAGAAATTAATTGTTACTTTTATGTTATCTGAGTCTGAGAGCTGTAGCCTTTTCCCTCCTCCCTTAGTGCAGCTCTGAGATATGTAGCTAGGGAATGCCTGATTCTAATAAATTGTGAGGAGAGTTTTGAGGCTGGCTGAGTGGTTTGGAGTTTGTAACTGTACAGACTCTTACTACTCTTCTCATGAGTAAAAAAGAATTCTGACTCTGTGCCTTTCTTTCCTTGTCTTACAGTGTTTTAGGTGCTTGAATCTGATATAAAAAAAAACCCCCATTAATATCAGACAAATACATCGCCCTGCTGATGTACCAGTCTACCTCTAGCACTGAATATGAGCAAAAAATAAAAGCTTTGTCTTAGCAAATAGTTTTGCTCATATTCTCTGAATGGTTAAGCAGATAAAAACATTAGACCCAGGACTGCTGAAATACAGTAGAAAGGCCCTTTTCTGCATCGGGGAGCTCTGATTGAAAGCTGCAGCTAAAGTTAACTTCATTGTTTTGATGCCAAGAGTTTCATCAAACATCAAAGTTGTTTTGGTTAAGAGTATCAGGTCGTTTGTACAAGAACAAGTACTACATGCCTGATACAGATACCACTTCAACACATGAATATGCATCCCCTTAAGCCTGGCTTTGTATCTCTGGCTGCAGGTTTAAAGTGGTTTGTTTTGCTGGAACATGAACCTCTGCCCTAGACTCATTTTATTTGCAATTTCTTGGGGCTTAGCTTAAAAGATTTTACCTCTATTTATCTCCAAGCATCTTCCCATCAACAGAACAGAGAGAGACTGCTTCCCCGCAGCATGATTCTGCCACCACCATCTCTCAAAATGTGGAAGTTTGTTTTTCTAACACTAACAGGGCTGATGTAGCTACTAAGTATTATGCTAAAAATGTCAAACAAAATGTTTGAGAATACTTTTACAATGAACAGGTAAAATAGCTTTAAGTACACTTTGTATTACAAATATTATTTGGATTAAACTGAACAACTTAAAAATGCATAGAATTATAAGGTACTATGTAATTCTTCCAATAAGCAATCGACCTCTGAACCATGGAGGAACTTGTGCTGGGTCACAAGGAGGAACTAGAATGGTGATAAGAGCAGAGGTTCTGCTTTATACACCGTCACACTATTTGTTCAGGGTTTAAAGAAGAATTACTTATATGAGTTCAATTCAATTCAATTCAGTTTATTTATATAGCGCCAAATTCACAACACATGTCATCTCAAGGCACTTTACAGTTCAACCAGATCAAATTGATACAAAGTTTTCTATCTAAGGAAAACCAGTTGATTGCATTGACTCATTGACTCAAATACAATCCCCCACACTAAGCATGCTTGTAGCGACAGTGGAGAGGAAAAACTCCCTTTTAACAGGAAGAAACCTCCAGCAGAACCAGGCTCAGTGTGAGCGGCCATCTGCCGAGGCCGACTGGGGTTCAAGGAGACAGAAGCAGAGATACAAAAAGCAGCTGTAAAAGGCGGCCCCGTCCAGGAAACACACAGCCAGGCAGACGAGCTCCAAGGCAGCTCCCATGCCAGAGGACGAAGAAAGCACATCCACTCAGTCACGGTCAGAGAAACAGGACCACACTGGAAAACAGGCCGATCTCCAACATCTATAAACAAGGGTGTTGATAGAAGCAGCACAGCTGATGTTTCTTTCCAGGATGACGTCACAGCCAAACAGGAACAGACGAGGCAAAGCTACTCTGAGGAAAAGCAGAGAGAGCAGAAGGTTAGAGATTGAACTAACAGATTCTGCAGAATAGGAGAACAGAGAGAGAATGAAGCAGAATGATGAAATGGGGGTCCCTATGTCCTCCAGAAGTCTAAGCCTATAGCAGCATAACTATAGAGATAGCTCAGGATAACCTGAGCCACTCTAACTATAAGCTTTATCAAAAAGGAAAGTTTTAAGCCTAGCCTTAAAAGTAGACAGGGTGTCTGCCTCACGGACTAAAACTGGTAGTTGGTTCCACAGGAGAGGAGCCTGATAACTAAAAGATCTGCCTCCCATTCTACTTTTAGAAATTCTAGGAACCACTAGTAAACCTGCAGATTGAGAGCGAAGTGCTCTGTTAGGAACATAAGGAACAATCAGATCTCTGATATAAGATGGAGCTTGGCCATTTAAGGCTTTATATGTGAGAAGGAGGATTTTAAATTCTATTCTTGATTTAACAGGAAGCCAATGAAGAGAAGCCAGGATAGGCGAGATATGATCTCTCTTTTTAATTTTCATTAGAACTCTGGCTGCAGCATTTTGGATCAGCTGAAGGCTTTTAACTACAGTTTGTGGACTTCCTGATAGTAAAGAATTACAATAGTCCAGCCTTGAAGTAACAAATGCATGGACTAGTTTCTCAGCATCACCCCTGGACAGGATATTTCTAATTTTTGCAATGTTCCTCAGATGAAAGAAGGAAATTCTAGAAACCTCCTTGATATGGGACCTAAATGACAGGTCCTGATCAAAAACAACACCAAGATTTTTTACTTTATTATCTGAAATCAGTTTAATCCCATCCAAATGAAGTGACTGGCTAATCAGTTTCTTTTTCAGAGACTCTGGTCCAAAGACTATAACTTCTGTTTTGTCTGCATTCAGAAGCAGAAAGTTAAGAGTCATCCAGGTTTTTATGTCTTCAAGACATGCCTGTAATCTATGTAATGGGTTAGCTTCATCTGGATTTATAGACAGATATAGCTGGGTATCATCAGCATAACAGTGGAAATTAATCCCATGCTGTCTAATAATTCTACCAATTGGGAGCATGTATAAAGTAAAGAGAATTGGTCCTAGCACTGATCCCTGTGGTACTCCACAGGTAACCTTTGAGCGTGTTGAAGATCTATCATTAACATGAACAAACTGAATTCGATCAGATAGATAAGATTTAAACCAGTCTAGTGCTGTTCCTTTAATTCCAACAAAATATTCAAGTCTTTCTAAAAGAATATTATGGTCAACTGTATCAAATGCAGCACTAAGATCCAACAGGACGAGCACAGATACAAGTCCATTATCTGAGGCCATGAGAATATCATTAGTGACTTTCACCAGAGCTGTTTCAGTGCTATGATGAGCTCTAAAGCCAGACTGAAACTCTTCAAAAAGTTCATTATGGTGGAAGTGATCGCAAACTTGTTTGGCAACTACTTTCTCAAGAATTTTGGATAAGAAAGGAAGATTGGATATAGGTCTATAATTGACCAAGTCATCTGGGTCAAGAGACGGTTTCTTAAGCAGAGGTTTAATTACAGCAACCTTAAAAGCTTTAGGTACATATCCCTGTAACAGAGATAGATTAATCACATCTAAAATGGAGGAGGAGATCAAAGGGAATACCTCCTTAAATAACCTGGTTGGAACTGGATCTAACATACAAGTTGAAGGCTTAGATGAAGACAATAATTTTGCTAATTCAGAGAGTTCAACTGGATCAAAGCAGTCTAAACCCAGTTCAGATTCCATGACTACCTCAGGTACAATCGCGGATAGAGGAGTGCTTATGATCTTATTTTTAATAAGATCAATCTTATTTATAAAGAATCCCATAAAGTCATTGCTGCTAAGAGCAGGTGGAATGGACGGTTCAACAGAGCTATGGCTCTGGGTGAGTTTGGCAACTGTATTAAAAAGAAATCTAGGATTATTCTTATTCTCCTCTATTAATGAGGAGAAGTATGCTGCTCTTGCTTTACAAAGGGTCCTCTTATACAGCAGTAAACCATTTTTCCAGACTAGGAAGGACTCTCGCAGGCCTGTGGAGCGATATTTTCTCTCCAGTTTCCTAGCATTTTGCTTCAAAGTACGCAGCTCTGCATTAAACCAAGGAGCAAGCTTTCTATTTTTAACGGTTTTCATTTTCAAAGGAGCTGCGTTGTCTAAGGCAATACGCAGAGAACTAGCAACCCCATCAACAAAATCATCAACCTGTGAAGGGGAATAAGCTAAACTTTTGCACTCTGCAGCACTGCTCAGTGACACAGAGGAGAGAGAAAGTGAAGCAGATTCTTTAAAATTTATAACTGCACTATCTGATAAAGATCTACTAAAATTGAACCTTCTTTTGGGGGAGGAGAACTCTGTTAAAGTAATCCTGAAGGTTATTAGAAAGTGGTCAGAGAGGACAGGGTTGTGAGGAAATACTGTTATTTCTTCACATTCTATGCCGTATGTCAGCACAAGATCCAAAGTATGAAGATGAGAATGCGTGGGACTATTCACATTTTGAACAAAGCCAATAGTGTCTAAGATAGCATTAAAGGCTGCTCTTAAGCTATCGCCTTCAATGTCAGCATGGATGTTAAAATCTCCCACTATGATGACCCTGTCAGTATTTAATACCAAATCAGAAAGGAACTCTGAAAACTCATCTAAAAATTCAGAGTAAGGACCTGGTGGACGATACAAAGTTACAAAAAGAAGAGGTTTTCTTGCCTTGAAATTTGGATCAGGGAAATTAAGGGTTAAATGTTCAAAAGAGTTGTAGGTATTAACTGTTTTGGGAGTAATCAGTAAGTCAGACTGGAAGATTGTTGCTACTCCTCCTCCTCGCCCAGAACTTCTGGGGATGTGAAAATTTAAATAGCTTGAAGGAGTTGCCTCATTTATGCTCACATAATCCTCTTGCTGCAGCCAGGTTTCTGTAAGGCAAAACAAGTCAATGTGATTATCACAAATCAAGTCATTAACTAGTAGACTTTTAGAGGAAAGCGATCTTATGTTAAACAGACCGCATTTAATTGTTTTAACTTTTTCCCCAATTTGAGTTATTTTGATTTTAATTAGATTATCATGATTTACTCCTTTGGGAATCTTTGCTAATTTATTAGATTTTGGTCGTGGGCAAGACACTGTCTGGATGGAGTAAAGAGTGGGTAACAGTAGAGAAGCTGCAGAGATGTGTGTTAAACTACAACTCTGCTTCCTGGTCTGCACCCTGGGTGGTCAGGGTTTTGGAGGACTAATAAATGTGGCCAGATTCCTAGAAAGAAGAGCTGCACCATCCAAAGTGGGATGGATGCCGTCTCTCCGAATCAGACCAGGCTTTCCCCAAAAGGATTGCCAATTATTAATGTAGCCCACGTTGTTTTCAGGGCACCACCTAGACAACCAGCGGTTGAATGACGACATGCGGCTAAACATGTCATCACTGGTCAGATCAGGGAGGGGACCAGAGAAAATTACGGAGTCCGACATTTTTTTGGCAAACTTACACACCGAAGCAACACTAATTTTAGTGACCTCCGATCGGCGTAACCGGGTGTCATTACCACCAGCGTGAATAACAATCTTACTGTATTTAACCTTATCCTTAGCCAGTAGTTTCAGGTAGGATTTGATGTCGCCCGTTCTGGCCCCCGGCAAACATTTGACTATGGTCCCTGGTGTCTCTAATGCCACGTTTCTGACTATGGAGCTGCCAATCACCAGAGTGGGCTTCTCAGTGGGTGTGTCACTGAGTGGGGAAAACGGGTTAGAAACGTGAACGGGTTGGTGGTGACCAGTGGGCAGAGATCCACGACTACGCTTTCTGCGTACAGTTACCCAATCGCCTGGCTGCTCAGGCACTTTTGGAGGACAGCTACGTGGGGGGCCTACTTTAACTCCTGGATGTTCAACAGCCTGAAGCCTGGATTCTAACTCTGACACCCTCGCCTCCAAAGCTACAAAAATACTACACTTATTACACATCCCATTATCACTAAAGGAGGCAGAGGAATAACTGAACATCTGACACAGAGAGCAGGAGAGAGGAGAGGAAGAAGGAAGAGTTGGAAAAGAGTCAAGGGAGGGAGAGAGAGAAGCCATAGCAATGCTAAGCTAGCGCTAGCCTAGGCTAGCTACTTCTTGCTATCAGAAATAAAACCGTGTGAAACTGACAAGTGCTCAGTAGAAAAGTGCAGCAGAAGGTGCTATGTTTTAAAGTAGTCAGTTAGAGTTACTTAGATACAGAGATATCACAGAGAAAATAACTTAACTTCAGATGGAGATCCTCTGAACAGCTGCACACTCAGTTAATCCAAACAGGAAGTGAACAGGTCCAAACAGGAAGCAGGAAGCAAAAACCAATAGAGCTGAGCTGAGTTCAGTTTTATTATGATTACAGCTGATATTAGAGTCTGAAAGGTAACATCTACCTTGACCTACTTTACAGGTTTTGCATATATTACAAACCTGGAAAAGGATAGGAAGTTAAAGGCGTGTAATTACCAAAGGAAATGTTGAAAAAACACAATGAGGAAGAACTCTGGAGGAACTAATTGGTCTGTACAAAGAAATTTAGAGTTCACCTAAACTGGAGATGAGAATGGTCTATTATTTAGATGCGAAAATAATGCAAACTAGTTTTCTTTTCAGCTAATTTAGGAGTTTAAAATAACTTTAAATGAATTCAATAAGTAAACGAGATGATTAAGTCTATATTTTAGGTCTATTTTTAACAAATGATAAGTATCTAGGCCGACCAGCTGTTCCTGTGTTGGAACGGCACGGGAACAGTTTGTGTGAACACATCTGTACATCTTAAGGACTGATATCACCTCCCACAGAAATGTCGGCGGACAGGTTAGACCGCTCCATCTGATGACGGGGAGGTTAGCCGTAGGTACCGGGCCCAAATTTAAAGCGGAAAAGCTTCAATAAGAGCAGCTCTAGTTTTAAAAGCGTATGTTTTTGGAGCACCCATAAATAAAGACAGAAAGAAAAACAAAAACCAGGGTTTTTACCTGCGCTGCGGCTGCTGCGTCTCCTCCGACGGCTGCTCCTTTACCGCTTTTGTCCTGCATTTCCACCCGGCAAAGGCGGCGCTTAAGTTAAAACACTCGACCGTTTCCCTTCATTTTATGCGGCAGTGGATTTAGAAGAACGCCGACATGCTGTATGTTTGGGTGAAGTAGGTCAGTGGCACAGGTTCGGCAGGTAGACCTCAGCGGTGACGATGAGGAAACGGGCCGCCGAAGGGGAGGTGAGATGAAGGGCGGGGAGAGGAGAAGGGACGCAGGTGGAAAAAAAAACACCCTCCACCTACCGCTTCAAAACGAGGCGGTGACGATTTGAAGGATGTGTACACGGTAACCAAGGGCGACATGGCGGGGGAAATAAACAGAAGGATGCAGGAAAGATTTAATTTGGAAAATAGTTAAAAACACCAAGAGTTTGAGGTGAAGTCTGCGTGCTGTGGCTTTAAGAATGATGATGGTATATTTTAGCGCTGAGAAAAGCACGCGCTTTGGTGGAAACAGAGGCGGTTCTAGACCGCATTTACCAGGGGGTCAGGGTGAGGCCATCATCGAATAAAAAGCAAGGCAGTAGATGGTTTCAATGGCGTAACTATCGGAAAGTAGAGACTGCAGTTGCTTAGGGGCCCCAAACCCCTTAGGGGCCCCATCACTGACACCTGGTTGCCCCCCTGCACAGGATGTCTCTTTGCAGATGTAATGGTGCGAAAAATTCGTCTTATCCCAACTGATACTAGGTAGACTGACCAGACCTTATTTATACCGCAACACATGCCAGATTTCAACATGAAGGTGTTTAAACACGACACCAATAGCAAAGCAGACAGTGGTCCTTTTAATTACTATGTTAATAACTGTGTATAGTTCATTAAAGGGGTGGTAAAAAAAAAAAATACACTCTATAATATGTTTCAAACAGTAATAAAGATCTTAAAAGAATTCCGTAAAAGTTCAAAAAATATCCACTGGGCTTGGTTTCCAAGATTTGAAGACGATTTGCCACCTCTCCAGGAAGCTTTCTCAATTCAAATGTTTGGATCCACAGTGAGTTTGAGTCTTATATAGACAAAGCCTTGTATTGCTTGGAAACATGCAAATGGCAATGCAAGGCTTTGTTTACATAAGACTCAAACTCACTGCGGATCCAGACATTTGAATTGAGAAAGCTTCCTGGAGAAGTGGTGAAACGTCTTCAAATCTTGGAAACTAAGTCCAGTGGATATTTTTTTGAACTTTTACAGTATGTCCTGGATGACTGAGAATCTTCATCAGCATCTTAAAAGAACAATGGATTTGAGTATTTAATTTTTTTACAATACCACTTGGAATTATGGGTAATCCAGAGCATAGATTAAAACCATAATCGTACGTACCCCAGATTCCAGAAAAGAAAAAAAAAAAAAGGTGTGTGTGGGTGTAACAACTTCAAAGAGCCGCTTTAAATAATGGTTAGTAATAACTGCTACCATCTTTTTATAGGCCATCATTTGAGACTGAACCAGCTGATATTAATTTGCACTGACAAAAGGAAGGATGCTTTCTAATTACTGAGAGATTTCAGGTGGTGTCTTGGTTTTTCATGCCTTTTTGCACCTCCCTTTCTTCACATATTCAATATTCACTTTATTAAACATTACTTAATTTCTGGACTTCTATGGTTTGATCTCTTTGTATGTGTGAAAGCATGTTACCAACATCTAGTGAAAATGTCAATAGGACCTCTAGAAATATATCTACTGAGGAAAATGGTGGCTTGTTCAATACTTATTTTATGCGCTGTAGATATGAAACCCAGGGGTGTTAAGGTTTATTACTCCAGCAGAAGTATAAAGCCTACTGTTTAAAAACACTTTTGTTGAACTTAGAGGATCAACTTAACCTTGTTACGACAGTAAAATTGTTAAAGGAAAATTTTTAAAACTACTTAAAGTATAAAACTTAAAGGTATACTATGCAACCGGTGTTGATGTTCCAGCGAGGCTCCCCCCAGAGGGCGAAAGTAAAAGTGCACTGTCGTAAATATGCTCAGCTGTTCTCCTGGTTTCTCCGTCAAGCCAGGCGCGGTTGTTTTGAGCTTAGCAGCGAATGACTAATGCTGCGTTCACACTGGACGTAGCTGGCGCGACAGAAGCAGAGAGTTTACATGCAAAGTCAATGGTTGACGCGCGTCAAGGCGCAGCAAAAGGTCCCGCGGCGCGCAGCACATCTGAGCAGCTGAAGCAGCGCGTCGGGTGCGTTTAACGCAGGGAGAGAGACACAGCGCTGATGATCACTTCTCTTAAACAGTTTATTGATGCCTAAATTAACTTAAAATGCAGAAATCTGCCGGCAGAATATGCAGTTTGGATTATTTAGATGAAAAACACCTACCAGCTGCCGCGGTGAACCGCTGCTGATGAAGGGATCCATACTGTCGGCGCATCCCTGGTATGTGGGGGTCTGAGCGGCTCCGACAGAAAAAATATTGAAGGCAGGATAATAATCTGAATGAACTGACTGCACTGATTACGTTTTCAGGTGTATTTTCTCACTTAAACACATATTAAAACTACTTTATTCCCACTGATCACAGCAAATATAGCTGCAAGGCAGAGAAAGGATAGTGAAGCTCCGCCCAATGCGCCTCAGACACACTTTTGCACCGCGCAGCCAGAGCAGCAAAGCTGCTTCAGCTGCGGGTCAGAACTAACTGGTACAAGCAGCAAAAAGGAAGCAGCAGACGCAATTTTGCTGCTTTTGCTGCGTGAACGTAGCATAACTGCACAAATATCGCCACTGTGCTAGCAACGAGCATGCTTTTAACTGGGGGCGTGTAGCAGTTCTCGCCGTAAAGCAAGACTGACTCTCACGAGACTTCTGAGCCTGTGGGTGCGGGTTGGTGCTCCTGCAGTTGCAAGTGCAGTATTTCCCCCACAGACCACCAGGGCGGCCGAGAATACCTTTGTTCAACCTGAAATGACTCATTTAGTCATCCATAACGTTATGGAACACATTAGTTAACTGAAAAATGTTGCATAGTGTGCCTTTAAAGTAATGCAGGAAAAAAGAATTATGGACAGTAGATTTACTGTATGTTAGGATAATTATCATTGATTATTTGCGAGTTCATTACACCTTAATATTACCTGCCTGTTGCATGCCAGAACTGATGTTTTCCTCAGTAGTTTATCTAATTATCGGTCCGGCTATATACAATTATAATCTTCATTATGTATGTGGCAAAGATTTGGGAATGGAATGAGAGCGGCGTCCTTCAACTAAGAACAAAGTGTAATATTTTGATAAGACTGGAGCCATTGATGTCTCCTCATCTACAAACGTGCATGATGTACTGATGTGAAGATGTGGCAGACTGGAGTTGTAAAAAAAATGCTTATTCCTGAGAAGTGAGCCTGGTTGGTAAGCAGCTGCCTTTTGTAACCCTAAGCAACATCTGATCTGAGTAAGATTGCAATTTCTATCAAAATCTGTTGTCCTGTCTCCCAGTTATTTTATACATATACGTTATGAAGCGTTATTTAACGAGTTTGTTCCGAGTGATCTCTTTTCAGGAAACGAACCGCAGAGAGAAAGCTTCAAGGGTAGTGCAAGCTTGACCTGCAATACCCTATTAAAGGAAAAATTTTCTACAGTTCCTCATGATAACTTCCTTAAACTTAATTTTCTTAGTTTTATAACTAATGGTAACCGTATAAAATTTAACTTTGCATCATCTTGAAAAATTATTTATTTTAATATGTGGTGAACAAAAAGTTGGGGCAACACTGAGTCTAACCGCATAGAAATTAATTGTCTGGATGAAACTAATTATTTTAATTTTTTTTTTTTTTTTTTGTTGTTTTAAAGGAATAGTACACCCAAAACATGATTAGCCTTCATTTTCTACTCACCCCCATGCTGAACAACACTCTGGAGTACTTTTTTGATTCCTCAAATGCATCTGGAGATCTGGGAGGCTTCTTGCTGTCTGCTGACATTCAAATAATGGAGGTCTATGGTGACCGAGACAGAAAGGTCCATAAAAGTCCACAAAAAACGTTTCAATATTCCTCCATACTGCTCGTCCAATGTATTCCAAGTGTCCTGAGTGGGTAGCATCCAGAAATTACTTGAAACGAAGTCATTTAGAATGTTTTTAGAGCATAAACAGTAGTGTATAGGATTTCCTGAAAGCGCGCACATGCGCGATCCCGACGCTACGGAAGCCGGCAGACCAAACCAGCGCATTCAGCTTGGCAAAGAACTCATGCTCTTCCTCAACACTGAAGTCCTCAGACATTTTTCTTTCGTTGTTTCTTTCTTTGCACAGGTAAACGGCACATTTCTTCTTATACGCTTGCATTATTGGAAGAGCAGACGCTGAATGCGCACTTTCATCTGGTTTGGTCTGCCGGTTTCCGTAGCGTTGGGAGCGCGCATGTGCGCGCTTTCAGGAAATCCTATACACTACTGTTTATGCTCTAAAAACATTCTAAATGACTTCGTTTCGAGTAAATTCTGGATGCTACCCACTCAGGACACTTGGAATACATTGGACGACCAGTATGGAGGAATATTGACACGTTTTTTGTGGACTTTTATGGACCTTTCTGTCTCGGGCACCATAGACCTCCATTATTTGAATGTCAGCAGACAGCAAGAAGCCTCCCAGATCTCCAGATGCATTTGAGATATCAAAAAAGTACTCCAGGGTGTTGTTCAGCATGGGGGTGAGTAGAGAATGAAGGCTAATAATGTTTTGGGTGTACTATTCCTTTAATACCAATAGGCCATAATGAAAATGAGCTTAAATAAAGCCTATTATATAGGATATAAGGAGTAGAAAGTAGAGATAATTGCAAAAAAAAAATATATAAGGACTAGAAGTATAAAGTTGTCTAAAAATAATTGCTCCTATAAAGTATAGATAGCCAATATTTGGAATTAGGTAAGGGAACAAAGTATTTTTACTTTGTTACTTGACATTTCAGGTGAAACCCATCTTAACCATCAATCATATTTATCTCTGCAAAGGTCTGAAAATCAGCCATTGTCGATACTCCAAATCTTTCATATATAACTGAAAGAACCAATAAAACAAGCTTCCAATTGTTTCAAATGTATTGTTGTTTTTTCAATTCAAAAAACATAGAAGGTGTGTTATGATCCTGTCATACATGTTTTTTTCTGTATCTGTCAAAATGGCGTCAGCATGTTAGGCTTTTCAACGATTTTAAATTAGAAAATCCACCACAGTTGCCATGGAGCTGTCACTGCATCTCTGAGTGTGCTATATATTTTCTGTTTTAGAAGAGCGGTTTGGACATGATGGGCAGGAATTTTAATGGTTGGAATGCTGGTTTATAAACCCCTGAATTGTCTGTTTTTGTAATGAAGCTGTCTGTTCAATATTCTTTCATATGAAATAAATCTCAGAGGTCTTTGCAGAAAAGAATAGAACTTTGGTTAACAGGGTTGTTTTAGAATTTTTTTGTAAATAAAGTTGCGTTGTAACAATGGGATTTATACTGACACAGCTGAACTATTTTTTTGTATTAGGTTATATCTAAAGGCAATTAGTTGCACTTCATTTTGTTCAGTTGTACCAGAATAAACTGAAAAGCCAAAAGATGTATGGAGTAAAAGTTGTTGCATTATTGTTTGAAGCAAAGTATACATTTTGTATACTACAATGTAAAAAATGCAATCCTGAAATAACACTTAAAAAAAAAATGAAATCAGATAAAGGTTTTAAAAGAAACTTTGCTGTTTTCTGAGATTTTGCTTTTTCAAATTTCTTTTTTGGTTTTTACGGAACTAGTGGCTCATTTTTTTTTTTTTTTTTTACAGTGGGCTGAGAGGAAAGGAGGTACAAGAGAGGGAGAGAGACATGCAAGGATTTAAACTGAACCTTGGTCGGCAATGTCAAGGACTAAGGAATAACCACTGCATCACCGAAGCACGCCCATATTATTTTTCATTTTAAAAACATTGATCATATTTTATTTTTTATTTTTTCTTTATCAAAATGTCTTTTTACAGATTTGATATTTTCCTTTTTTTATTTCGGTTTTTCAGGTTGAGTTTTATGAATTACAGTTTTTTTAAATTGTGTTTTACTGATCTCTGCTTTTTCACTTCTGGTGGGGCTTTCCTCTGGGGGTAGGAGATAAGACGTATTTCTATTAATTTGCTGGACGTTAGCATCAACATTTTCATTGGTCAAGACAGAGTGTTGAAGACAAAATGTAGTAATTAAAATGCAATTTGAAAATAATGGGAATCTGAAAAAAACAGAAACATGAAAAAAGAAAATATTAAAAGAAATTTGGAGAAAATGTAATTTAAAAACTGAAATATGAGAATACATTTGAAAAAAACTGAGATAATGGTTAATGGTAAATAGTTAAGTTTCATTTCGTTTTTATTTTCATTTACAAACCCTGTTCTTTGCTTGCAAAAATAATGGAACAAATATTTTATTTCTTTCAAAGTTTTCATTTGAAAAAATAAGAAACAAAGACCTCAAATAGAAAAAAAAACTGAATTTTTTTTTTTTGGGGGGGGGGGGGGGGGGGGGGGGGGATTATTTAATAAAACTAACAATATTAATGTGCCGTTACGCCTTGGTGCAAACTTTGAGCTTGCCCACTTCAGAACCCTGAAACCAACAACATCCTGAGAGCCTAACAAGTGTTCTTCTAACTCATTAGATTTGCACAAGAAGAGAGATGTGAGAAACACAACATAATACGTAGGTTAAGCTTAAACAGGTACTTGTGTTCTGGCCATCACTAAACAAACACTGTTTTACAGTCCGAACCACACCCAGGTGCAGTCAAAGGTTCAACAAGTTTTCCCCTTTCAACACCTCCAGCAACACATTTTTCATGTGATCTGATAAAGATGCTTTCTCACAGAATTTAAGTCATTGTTTCGCTCACGTTTTTCACCTTTCATCTACATTACATCTGCTTTTATGCGTCCTGAAACAACATTTTCAGGTCAGTACTTTACCTGAGTTTAAATGCTAAGATGATGTCTTTACCCAGGAAATGAAATGTGCCTTCCCAACAACTGAAACAAGTGCAACTCTTTTGGAGAACTGGCTTATCTGAATATCAAACTATATTCACACCAGTTCACAGAAAAGTAACAACCAGAGATTATCTCATAATCCCAGGGTAACGTTAGGCAATGGCCGTAGATGAGGCAACAGAAATGCAAAACATGGTAATTCAAAAACGAAAAGACTGATTTTGAACCATATGAGACAAGCTTCCTATATGAATTGGACCTGTTTGCACATCCTGCAACAGCTTTTACTCTAAACTGAGCAAACATGTTAATGTCAGCTAACATGCTACAATTAGCAACTTGACAAACATTGCCCCCACTGTTTACTATGTCAAGCCCCTGTCACACTGTGCCGATTTACCCAGCGCATGCCTGACATCCTAGAATCTTCTAAAACGCTGGCATACGCTGAACTTTCTCTGTATTTTTTCAATTTTGGGCGTACACATAGCGTGTTAATAAATAGTATAGAGCTTAATGATGATGCACAAGCCAGTGTCCGGAGGGGGCAGCGATGCGTCCGGAGGTGTCTGGCCTGCATAAAAAGATTTCTTTGATCGTTTTAACCTAGCTGCTGTTTACTGCCCGCCACAAAAAAAAGAAAAAATAAAGAAAGAAAGAGGGGAGGCTCCATCACACTGACCTTCACGCTCACCCTACAACTGGAACAAAGTCCAAATTGATGAGATCATGCTGATGTTGGACGACAGCTAGTATGAATTCCTGTCTCACCCTTGTTGGATCCTCCATTTCTTGTGGAACTTCCGAAGTCTGGAGGAGTTTTGACGGTTTCCTTCTGTGAACCACTTTAATATCAAAATGCTGCCAATACACATTATACTTTAGCTGGAAGTTAGAAACACGTTCAGTGGTCGTCTGGAACAAGTCAGTTACGTTGATATGCGCTGGAGATAAGTTCTGGATAAGTTACGCATAAGTTATGCAATAGTTTCTAATTTTGGATAAGCTAGACGTCACGACTTATGAGTAACTTACACCTAACATATGTCAATAATTAGAAAACTTACCTGTAACTTATGACCAAAATATAAGCATACGTACTTGCCATATATCAACATGTGCCAGCGTGCTTCAGTGTGCTTATAACTTATACAAAACTGTCCCCTAACTCGTCCAACATATGCCAGCATTTTTGCCAGATTTTTCAAACATCAGGTATATGCTCACTAAATCGTCAAGGTGTGTAGCAGGATGCATTATTCTTCAGATAGAGATGACAGTAATTAGTGGTCAGAGATGGAGAATCTGGGTCCAGAAAGTAAAAACCCTGCCTAAGTTTCCTTCATCCTGTTAACTTAACAAGGAGATTAGCCCACAGTTTTTATTGTGGAGCTGGAAATGCAAATAGTTGGAACTAATCTCTGTACTGGCTTTTCAGTTTCTGGATTATCCACCACTGTTAGTGCTACAAAAATCATGGCTGTGGTTCAGCAAAGGTATTGGTAAATCGCAAGTACTCATATAGCAATTAAACAAGTTTGAGGACCCCAAAACGCTTCACACTGCATTGAATCATTCAGCCATTCACATGCTGAAGGTAGTGAGCTAGACTGTAGACACAGCTGCCCGGGGGCAGACGGACAGAAGTGAGGTTGTGATACAGTCAACGCCACCAGGTCATTTGATTACCAACAGCAGACAAGATGGGTACTGTTGGTGCCCAAGGTCACAAAAACAGAGACTGACAGATTGTGGGCTTAAACCAGCAACCTACAGGTTACAGGATGAACCCCTGAATGCCCAAAATGATAAATGTCAAAGCAATGTCCCCAAGGATGGCACAAACCAATGTTTTCCAGCTAAACTTTCTCCAATATTAACTCTGCCCTCACAATTTTTCCCCCCATTGTTCATCCTGGTGCATAATTTTCCCCAGGTTGGAGATGACCACAGTTCCAACCATCCAAACAAAACGTGAATCACCAGGCCAGGCTGAGAATACCCTTTTCCAATGCTCCATACTACAGTCTTGATGCTAACTTCCCCCACTGTTGGTAAGTAATGGACAGGTAAAAAAAAATGCCCTCTGTGTAATGACACCTTTCTATCCCATTGCACCAACTGCTTCATCCAGGCCTTTTTAAACCCAGTGGGCATAACTGAGCCATGGTCACCGCTGGTTAACTACAGTTTCTTTCTTAAACCATTTTTTATTGATTCAAACTTCTGCTGATCGGTAGCGGCAAACACAGCCAATACAATACAATGATAAGAATTAAATGCTCAAATTAAAAGTATAATAGTCTTTATTTCATAACCAGTTATTGTACGTTCCACTTTTGGACAGTCATCAACATTTTTGACTGAGAGCAGTACTCATGGTAAGACATAATGCCCAAAGGGGTACACAAATCAAAAAAGGTTGGGAAACATTCCCAGGGGACATTGTCGTATCTTCTTACTTAAATGGTATGGTACCTAAAAATCACCGACACTATAGCTCTCATGGTAGTATAAAGAGTCATAGCAGATATTCATCACTCAACTTTTGATTAGGACCAGGTTTCCTGGTCTGATCTTTTCCTTCCAAAATAAATGGAATCACTGCTATAACCCACTTAGCTTCCTTCACTAGCTGCTCTACTGTCTTGTTTGCCATATAAAAGCTAAGCATGGAGGAAAGTCTCTGCTTTCATGATCACACTGGTGTTCATTGATGAACCAACAGGATTCAACACAAGAACAGAAAAATCATTATCTTACAGCATGAAAGGTAAAGACATGAAACTCAAGGATGTATAGCATATATATAGTGTCAATACTAACATGGACTTTTGATGCAGACTTGCTCTTCTTTTCCCTTCTTAGTTGCTACCTGTGGCCTCTTTAATCCGTCTAAGCTTGTGATGCTTCTCTAAATCCATCCAATCTGTTGAGTCCCTCACTTAACAGCCACACTCAACAAATCTGGGTCAATAGAACGTCCCTCCTCTCTGTGCAAAGAAGAAAATGTTAAAGCTGCTTTAAATGGCTTCTTTATCCAGTATTATTCAAGATTTCATCAACATTCCTGGAAGGAGGCTTCAGAGCCAAGAGGAGGTCTGAAAATATCACACAGAAAAATGGAACATCAAGACCCTGTGAAAAGAAGCTGGAGAAAATGTTTGTGCTGTCAGAGACAGGTGGAATTTGGTGGGATGGTGAAACGTCATGAAATAGCTAATGAAGTCAAAGGAAGCAGTGTGCAGCTGGAGGAACAGTCAGATATCTACTGGGACTTATGGACTAGTGTTGAGCCAGCGAGAGTCAAGAACTGCAATGGCAGATCATTCGCCATGGACGCTAGAAAAAGACTGGATAGCTTGAAGTCTGGCTGTAATTCACCACAGCCATGGGATAGTTCTGACAGCCCTTTGTACTACTATGACAGAGAAAAAGACCTCTGGGATGGTGAAGACCCAGAGGTGGAGCAGTCTGCTTTAGACGTGGTGGACATCCTTGATTTAGAGGGAAACTTGGAGGATGAAGAGATTTGGTAAGTTCTACCAGAGCTCAGCTTTCTGTGGGGTGTGTGGTCATTTATTTAACAGCTAAGCGCCTCCCTGTGAGCCAAAGTGGGGAAATATGTGAATTTCATTTTCTTACAGGTTATATGAACCTCCAAACAAGCAGTCGTTTGAAAAGGACTCTGCTCTCAGATGGTGCCGACACGTACTGGATAACCCCAGTCCTGAGATGGAAGCTGCACGTCGGGGACTGATGAAAAGCCTGCATGGAAGTCAGAAAGCTGCTTTGCCTTTACGAATGTTTGAAAAGATAAGGGGTTCAAAATCACTCAGTCACTGGTTTGCTTTTTTCTGCCATTGCAAGGATCAAGTTACTACCTCTACAGACATGCACCAGTTGTCACTCATTCATCCCGTGGCTGTTGGGAAAAAACATCGGTCAACACATCCCTCAATGACTCTGATGGTTTAGGTAAGGCCCTCATTTTCTTTAAAAGGAATCAGATTCACATAAAATGTTGAAAACAAATGCTTACACCACAAGTGCAGGACAGTGTGTCAAAGATTTAGCTTTCCACCTCATGGTTTATACATAAAATACTTCAAAATACTACAGTTTACTTTCTGATGTATGGAAGTAAAAAGCAACATGAACAACTCTAAGCTGCAGCATACATCTTTAAAGATTCAAAATAGCAGGCACTAAATTACACGCATTATATTTTATTTAGTACGGTACATGCAATAAGTGGGGGTGTGAGGTTGATCTACAAAGATTGCTGCGCAAATGTGAAGACCTGCAAACCGGCTTCGTTCCGCCCTCATGAAAATGAGCAGATTGGGGGATCTACTGGCAGTATAAGTGACTGTAAAAGAAAGATGAGGTTCAAAGCCATGGAGATGTGGGTTATAGTAATAGATGTTTACATAGGATAATAATGAAAATAGTGAATAACATTTATTGTGCAGGTTAAATAGGCGGACTGTCTTAAAGTGCAAACAAAAGTAAAAAAAAAAAAAAAATTATAATAACTTAAGTTAAATATATAAAGTGAGCAGATTGTTCTCTAAACATCTGGATTTATCTCCACTTGCTCCCACCAACAGCAGCTTGACACAAAACATTGAAAAATAAGGTCAATGTTTTTTTCTGTTTTTATATTATTCAACTGTTATTTCTTTCAGCCCAAATATGTTTACATAAGCACAGAATCTCTCGTTATCATCTGTTATTGTTTTATTGCCTCCTTTATAGCCACTATGACTGCAGATATCTTTGTGTGTCATTTTGCACCTGATTTTTAGAAGAACTAAAAAATACGTTAAAAAAACTGAGACTGTAGTTTAGTTTCCAGTTTGGGAAAAAAACTGTAGTTTAGTTTCCAGTTTGGGAAAAAAAAACGCTTTACTCTAGGAAAATGTTAACTTTTCCATATCTTCCACCCTTGAGTTTCGGCAGTTTGGTCATTAGGATATGATCTTCCTATTGATGAAGGAAAACACACAACAAATGTTTTGCATACGCTGATTTGGAAACATATATCACTGCTCACCATCTTTGAAGATCTGCTCAGCATTTACAAAAAAGTTTGCGCTTATTTTAAGATGTACAAACCTTCTGGAGATCAGGCCCTGAGTATTTTTATTTGCATAACCATAAAAAAGTTTAAAAGAATAAGATCCGGATTCTTAAAGAGTTTAGATCTTACATAGAATCTTAAATATGAGTTATAAGTTTGAACTTAAGTAAGAAAACATGCATAATTAGGAAACATAGAAAAAAAGCAGAGGGAGAAAACCTCCGTCAATCATTTATTACCATGTAGAAATGGAAAAGTGGACTTCCCGATTGCATTACATGGTGTCTGAATGAAAGAGTCACTGGATAATTTAACAAATGTAGAAGGGACCACACTGGTGTGAAAATTTGGAGCTTCTGTCATTAGAAAAGTGACTGAATAAGATTTTATTTACCATCAAAACTTCAAAGAGCTTAATTGGTTAAAAAAAAAAAAAAACTTTTAACCCAGAGTATGACTTTAACACTGTAGCTCAATTAGCAAAAAAAAAATAAAGGTCTTGTTTTTACCTTTTCACAGATCCTGATAAGGATTACAGATTACAGGATATAACGGATGTTCATATTATGGCCAAGATACAGGAAAACAGTGAGTATAAAGGACCTAAGGGGCTTGGTGGGGAGCTGGTTTTGATCCCTTGCAGTGACATCCTAGGAGTTTTCTAGTGTGTATTCAGATTCGGAATGTTTTTACATTTAAAAAAGATCTGACTAAAACCCTTCTAATCTGTGCTCTTCAGGTTTAAGACAGGAATATATTTCCCTGCCGGCTGTTGCTCTCTTGAAGAGAAACCCAGACATGTTTTCCTCCTTTTCCAACTCTGAGGTTGACCACAGCGATGACTTCAGTCCCAGAATTAAAAACAGTGTTCCAGGTTTTCCTTGCAATCCTGATCCAGCAGCAGTGGGCTCTCCCAGCTGCAGGTTACCGGTGCCAGCGGCCAAGGAGGGCTGCCAGAGTCCAAAACTGACCAAACTTCATCAGCAAGTGACCCAGTTCAAGCTGCTGAGACTCGCTCAGAGTAAAGGTAAAAAGCCACGCCGGTCCTTTCCCATCATTAGTAACTTATACAGTTAGATATAGAGGTTAGGTTTAAACCAGAATCAGAAGGGTGGCCATTTTCTTCTTCTTGTGCATTTCCAATTTAAAGTAATACGTAAATTGGATCTTTTCCTGGATGCAGCGTCTTCAGGCAGGACCAGGTCACCGAGGCAGACGAGTCTGCGGTCCCTGCAGGCCGTCAGGAACAGCCGGAGCTTAGAGGTCGATGACTACCAACCTGCTGGCAAAACCAGCCAACATCCACCAGGTTTCTACCCATCTCTGCTGTCCACAGGCTATAGAAATTAGAACAGTTCTCATGGCTCATGTCTTCCATTGCATTTAACCACCAGCTCCAGGCTATGGATTTGCATCCCTGAACTCCAGCAGCGGGACCGACCTGTTGAGGGACTCGGAGCGGATAACAGCGATGAGAAGACAGTTCAGGTCCCAGTCTCTCAGTCCCAGCAGGCCTCACCCATCCAAGGGGTACCTTCCTGTTCGCGGGCGGGTTTTTGCCTCACAGGAGAGCCCGACCAAGGCGGCTTGGGGCAGACATGCCTCATCCACTCAGAGATAAAATATTTTGCCAGGGAATCTCTTTTCATAAGGAAGGACACGAAAAGTATTCACACCCCTAAAACTTCCAGCATATCTGTGACCTTCTAACCCCGACCTGCCATGTATTTATTGGGATGTGACAGATAAAAACAGAGAAGTGCATGACCTGACCCCTTTACTCTGATACCCCCTAAAAATATCTGGTGAATTTAGGCCTTAACAAAAACAAATATTGCTGGACGATAAATTGTCCCAGAAATTATTGCAATAAACAATAAAAATGGTCTGAATCCAACGTGCTGCGACACTGCAGCTATCACGTTAGGCTTAGAAACCAAATTCATGCATTATGATAAATTGACTTTACATTAAAACCATAAAGGTAAAGAATAAAAAAGGTCCAAATGACCAACCAGTTATGGCACATATTATCATAAGAAAATAGTTTTTCTCTACTGGGATAAAACTCCTGCAAGCTGCAAGAAAATCTTTGCTTTGCTAGTCTTTTTTTTTTATTTTTTACTTTGTTGGACCTTTTGAATTTGCTGTGAAATGTATATTTTATTATCACGTATTTATGGTTTTGTAAAACAAGGAGAAATAAGGGAAACAAGCATGCAGATGTAATCACACATCTCATTTAAAATGTAAATAAAATGTAAATTTATTGTTTATCTGGATTAGGAGAGTATTGGCATAGGTGTCACAATACAATATCATCACAGTATTGCAATATCACTATATACTGAGATATTTTTCCTAGCTATCAAATTAAGTGTATAGATAAACAAGCAATTCCTGTAAATGTTCGTTAGAAGATATTGATCATTTAGTTATTTTGGTTTCCATGTTGTTTGGGGGTTGAGTCAGTCCATCAGATGGTGCTGCACCGCACAGCTAAAGGGTTCCACAGCACCACCTTTTTGCTTTTTTTTTTTTAAATCGACACTAGGAGCTGGAAGATTGATATTATATCGGGGAGCCGGGAAATCACGATATATCGCCAAACCAATTTTTTTCCACACCCCTAACTGGACAAACCCTAAAACATAGACTTAGATAGAAGGAAGGAATTGCTGAAAGTATTTCATAACATGGCTACTTTTCTCTATGTTGATGTTACAAACTAAGCCTCAAACTGAAGACATTAAATGTGGTGTGCCTCCATCAGGTTTCTCCTTGGCAAAGTTTGCAAAAGAGCATTTTAAAGAATGTTTATAACAAACATGGCAGTTTGTGGCTAAGAGATGCTTAAAACTACATGTAACAGGGGTAATCACTTTCTCAACACGGCCTAGTTGGTGTAATTCATTCACAGGCTGCTATAATAGACTTGGACAACTTTTATTGTAACTTTGTATATCCAGATTGTATATGAAATATATGAAATGTCTTTAATGGAGGGAAGAGGAGCCTCGATGATCTTCTCTGCTGTTCTCTGATGCGGAAATGTGGTAAAACTCTATGTCTGAGCGGCTGAACTGGAGCTCCGCTCTGAGCAGAACTGCTGCAATAGGAAGTTTGCAGTTTTTCATCATCACGGCAGAGAAGCGAGCAAACGCATGAGAGGAAGTGTCGCAGAAACCGAGGTGTTGATTTGGTGTCACTGCCTTTTAATAGTAGTTCAGCATTTGAAGAGGAGGCTTACCATCTGGTGGTGGAGGGAAACTGACCCATTTTTACATCCCTTTGAGCTTGTTTGAATAACCTATTTTATTATTCATAAACATATCTGTCAAAGTCAGCTTGTTTCATCTCTTCTTGAGGTATGCAAATTCTCAATTAGGACCAGTTACAACAAAATCTGTGAACCCCTGCTGTGAGGGAGTCTCCTCGTCAGTCTGCTAACCCTAACTTCTCAAATTTTATACCTAAACCTTAAGAAGTCTGTGGTGAAATACATGTTGCACTGGCTTGGGTCACAGATTTAGTTTTCTTTTAAAGTGCCACCTACTGTTCATTACTTGAGCTGCAGAATCTCTTGTCTGCTACTAGTGTCAGATTAGAGACCTCTAAACTTAATTTTTAAGCAAGTGAAATCTTCTATTGAATTAACTTTAGTTCTCTAGAAAACTTTTAAACCACTAGGGGGTGCTAGACCTGAAACTTCCAGGTTTATGGCCCCTGAAAGCAAGTGGCAGTGCTGCACTGTTGCAAAATGTGAACAGTCTCTGTGATTTTGAAAAGTATCTTCAAAAGAAAAAAAAAATACTTAAAAAGTTTTTTCCAAAAAATTAATATAAACCAACATGCTTCACCTATAAAAGCAGCTCAGATGAATACATGGCACAAAGATCATAGGACAAATTTAGATTTTTCTTTAACTTTTTTTTCAGGTTTAAATGGTTTACTTTCCTTTCAAAATGTTTTTTTTCTTTCTTTCCCAAGGTGTGTGTGTATATATATATATATATATATATATATATATATATATATATATATATATACTCAAACAATTAATCAGATTAATCGGTTATTGAAATAATCAACTAATTTATTAATCAATTAATCATTAACTGGAGTATAAAGACTCTACAACAAATCTTTAGCTGACAGAGCGACCCACTTAGAGCAGCAATTATATCAAAATAAAAAAAAATGTATATAAACATTTTGCATTTAAGAAAAAAAAGTTTTTGTCAACCTGCTCTATCCAGAACTCCTCAAGGTGAAAAGTTTTAGTTTCACCTGGTTTAATTTAGTAAAATATCTTCTTTAAGGAACCTTTGGCTGTCTGATTATTAATTTAAAAAATAATCGACTGATCAATGTGCATAATAATTGTTAGTTGCAGCCTTAATATATATATATATTTTTTTTCATTAAAGTTTTCTTTTAACAATTTCGATGGCTCCAATTTAGCTCCACTGATTTGTTCAGAGGCTCTGCTGATGAAAAAATGGGCAGATTTCCTCATGAAAAATTGGGTAAAGATGATTGTTTATAGAAAATAATAGTGAATTTAAAATTTGCCCATAAAATTCTATATATTTTTTTTCTTTTCCAGGTTTTATTGTCAATACACTGGTACAAGTACAGAACAAAGAAATAACCTCTCCCTCTGCATTTAACCCATCCCCTTGGGGAGCAGTGGGCTGCAATTGTGCGGCGCCCGGGGAGCAGTGTAGCATTAAGGGTCTTTTTGCTCAGAGAGCCAGAGTGGCAGTCTGTGGGACTGGGGCTTAAACTCTAAACCTAACCCAAACCTCTGGATTCCAAGCTCTATGTCCTAACCACTAGGGCACTACTCACCTGACACTTTTGACACTATTCACTATACTGTCAGTTCTTATCTGCTTTCAGTCCCAAATACGATCTCAGTCTGTTGTGAGCATGACCCAGTCTGAGGGCAACTCAGACTGGGTCACATGACCCCTTCAGCAGAGCATGATAAGCAACAGCTGCTATTTTGACCAGAAAAAAAACATTTATGCAATTTTACATTAGGGAAACCAAACCTTTTCTTTTTTTAAAATAAATTAAAAAACGTCATTTTTATGACTTATTTCATTATGCAGCTGCATTTCAGGGGTTTTCTGCAAGAATATTCAATCAAACTCCCAACCAAGGAGGAAGTGAAGTTTTATTTTTGGCAGCCATGTCTGTATTTTTACACATTTATTTACTTCTTTATAACTAGTTTTCTGCTCGTCTGCAGTTTAGAAGCATCCAATAGCTGCTGCGCACATCATAGAGTTAAACCAGCAGAAAAATGAGCAAGATTCACTGTTATTAATCAGTTTACATAAAAAAGGAAAAAGCTTTTATTTACAACGAGCCGCTAAAAGGTTTCTACAATGGCAGCAGTAAACAATAATTATGTACAAAATGTTTGTTTAAAGCTTTTAGCAGAGAAACTAAGGATTCTCTGCTCACTAATTATCAGAGTCCATGTCACTGTCTCCTCCAATGGATCGAAACTCTTCACTGTCTTCGTCTTCACTGAGCGGGACTTGGGACAGGACAGCTGGGCCTCTTCTCCGCGCCTCATCCTCTTCGTCCTCCTCCTCTTCACTGATGCCGTACTCTTCTCCGTTGCCCATGCTGGATGCCTGCATTTGACTGCGACTCTCCGTCTCCTCATAGCTGCCGTAGCTGAGAGAAGAGAAGGTTTGAGCCAAATGCCACATTTTAAATGATTAAATGTGGCAAATATGTTATTTTTATTACCTAATGTTGCTGTCTTCCATGTGTTCGTTGCCAACCCCTTCATACGACATCATGCTCTCATCCTGCTCCATGCCCATGCGGGCCGTGTCCTGAGCTCTCCGTGGGGGTGCAGGCCGGATATCCACCTCCCTCTCCGAGTCGCTGCCACTCTCCGACAGCTGAATACCTACAAACAGAAAAACAGCAATGATACATTTAGGTCATGAGCAGCTTTTAAGTCTATGTTCATAACTGATCTGAAGTTGTGAATCTATGATGCCATCGTTGAAAAGTATAACTACAGTTTAAATATCAGCTACAGGAAGTATTCAAACCCACAGATTTCGGTCACGTTATAACCACAAAGTTGTTGTGATATGATAGTTTTTTTATGTGAAAGATAAATACTAAGAAGCTCAGATACGTGAAGTGAACTCTAAATGAAATAAAGCTCAACATAAGTTCAGGTAGAAGATGAACTGGCCAGTGGGAAAGGGGTATTAGAGGAGCTTTGACCTAAAGAAACATTTAATGTATCTCAAATTAAGCTGTTGGGTCAAAAATAACTCAGTGCTGCTTTTAGGATGAGGCTACAGCACCAGTTACACTGCGTTCACAATAAACGCACTTAGAGCAGCAAAGAAGTATCTACTGCTTAACTTGATGCCTTTCCACATTAAAGGTCTGCAGCAAAGTGCTTTGTAAAGGGTCTGTGGAGGCGTTTAGTCTACGCCAAGAGCTGCAGGCTGGCGATGGTCGCTTCCACAGCTGTTTTCGTGTCAGCTTAGTCCAGTTTGACAACCTGCTGACTGTTCTGAGCGCCAGCTGCTTGAAAAGCACTTTAAGTGCCTCAGATGCTAAAACAATGATGCTACTCCTGCTGCTTAAAGTGCGTTGATTGTGACACAGCATCAGGGTTTGGCCGTTCACTAGCTGCAAGCTTGTGAAGTGATTCTGGGTCTTGTCTTCACCGGAGAACGGGTTGTCCCCTTCTTCGTCGCTGGCGTTGTCCTCTACGTCAGACATGAGCAGGTCCTGATACAGGACGCTGGACTGGGCCGGATGGCTGGACCTCCCACGCTCATCGTCGTCATCCTCCGCTTCGTGGTCGTGCTGCCGCCTGCGAGGTGGCAGCAGCATCTCTTCATCGTCTTCATCCTCTAGATCTCCATCAGCATCCTCTGCCTGCCGCCATGAGATATAGAAACAGTGCAATTAACATTCTATAGAACATTTTTTTCTATCTTTTAGTTGTTTTTTTTATTTTTTTCTTACAGGGGCAGGGGTTTTGGGTTTGCCATCATCTTCCTCCTCGAAGCCCTCAATGTCAACATCGGAGTCTTCCTCTCCAGGTCTCCTGATGTGTCGTCCCTGAGAACCAGAATCAAAGGAAATAATCAGGCCAGATCTGCTGAGCTCTTTTCTACTAAATAATTTATTGATAAGCAGATTAAAAACAAACAAACAAACAACTGCCCGATTCTCTGAGGACAGTCTGAGGAGAGCTGGCATGTGTCTCTCTCCATACCTGCCCCCCTCTCTTCTCTGGAGCAACCAGCAGAGGTCCCTCAGAGAAAAGGCTGCTAGACTCTCTGGGTAGACTCCCTGAAGCCACGCTGTCAAACAGATCAGCAGGCTGGCCGGCACCAGAGTGGGACACACACACAAACACACACACACACACACACACACACACACAAGGAGAGAGGAAACGAAGGCAGGAGTGAAGCAGAGGAAAAACCTTGGAGAAGTAAACCGGACTGTTCAAATACAACAACCTGGAGGGCAGAGTTAGTGCAGGGAGGATGTCAGAGGAAGGCAGGAGGACTGAGAGCTGCGGGCGAGAAATCTACTCCACTAACAGTCATGAGCCAATGAGGCTTCCGTCCTCTGCTCTTACCTGGGGGGTGTAAGGCCCAGGCGTCATGGGGTCCAGACTCTCCAGCTCTGCTGCATCCAGAGCTGCCTCCTTAGCCGTAGAGATGTCCTTTTCTAGCTGGGTCAGGTGCTCGTCGTACTAATTAAACAGAAAACAATAAAACTGTTAAGGTAACCCTTGTCCTCGTTACACAAGTTAGACAGTAAATCCAACTCAAACCGCCTCTGACTGGATTCCTGTGCTATGATTAAGGTATTAATGTTGCTAATCATAAATTACATTTCCGGTAGATGGTATTTGATGGTAGTGCACCGACAAAGCTGAATAAAAGCTGCCTCAAAAACTCAAAAATGAAAACTAAAATATGTTAAATCATAATTCTTATCATAACCATGATTTTAAAATGAATTTAAATATCTTGAAATATTAAAATGTATTTCATTTTAAAAACCATCACAAATAACTCCCTTGTGTCTTGCTGTGAAACTGATTAGTGTATCATTTATAAAGATGAAAGATAAAAGAAAACAACAAAAAGTTTTGTTGTTTTCTGTTCAGGGAGCCAGAGTGGCAGTATGTGGGAGTGGGGCTTGAACTCAGAACCTCAGGATTCCAAGCTCTATGCCCCAACCATTAGGCTGCCACTCCCCTCGTATGAAGCTAAAAGCCTGAACACACCGACTTTAATCTCTGATCCGATTTGTTTCCATGTCACA